TCAGGGTTTTGCTTCGTGACCCATGATTTTAAAGCTGTTTTAATGTCTTTCAAGTCATTGAATGTGAAACCTCGTAGGTTGTCTTTCAGAGGTCCAAACAGGTAGAAGTCATAAGGGGCCAGATCATAAATCTTCTTCAAGCGATTACGGATTTCCTTAGGTGCACAACCTTCTTTTGCAAGAAATTCAATGACAAGTCTTTCTTTTAGCTTCAGATTTTCTAATCAGTGAACCAGAAAAAGAAAAGACTATATTAGTAGAGGAAAGTTACCTCTATCATACCATGCATAAATAGTCCAGTAGCTGTGAAAGAAATAAAAAGTTAGAGAAATGGAGGCATTACTTTTTGACCCACCCTTGTATGTCCCGTCCACACAGGGTACATTCCAGAAGGTACATACTTAGAGAACTGAAACTGTGGATACTAGTGGGCTCTCTTTATTTTAAATGGGCTGTTTTTGTGTATTTATTTAGTTTAGTTTTATTCCACCCAGAGGCGGCCCTAGGTAATTTTCAACTGTAAGCAAACAGTATTTTGCCCCCCGCCCCCAACCAATCACTGATATATATTTCGAACTTGCCACCTGTCGGTCTTCAGTCCTGCCAGCACAAGAGTGTAACCCACTGTGCCACTGGGGGCTCCTAGGTTGGGTAAGTCAACGATGGATATTGAATCTGTGGATAAATGGGCCGTATGGTATGTCCAATCTATCAGTGGCAATGAGTCATGATAGCTCTGCATGAACTCTTCTATCTGAAGCAGTATATTGTTCAGCATCAATTGCTGGGGACCATATATAATATATATCTAGATAAATAAAAATGTAATGTTAGTTTGTGGGATTAATATAACTCAAAAACTATGAGATGAATTGACACCAAATTTGGACACAATACACCGATCAGGCCAACGAGTGACTATCACTCATAAAAACACTGAAAAACACAGCGGAAGAGACTTTAAAAGCCAAAAAATAAAAAAGACATTATAACGCATGTGCAAAATCACATATATATACACACAAAACACATACACAGATTGGGCCACAGCAACGTGTGGCATGGAATGGCTAGTATATAATATATAATAGAATATATACATATATATATATATATATATTGTATACACATATAATATTGATAATATTATAATGTAATACAATACTGCTAATAATACAAGAATTATATATTTTATATTACATGTAATATTACTAATAATATTACAATATAGTGGTATAGTTCAATATAGTAATATATAATACTAATATTGTGCTGTGCTAATAATATTATATATTGTATACACATATATTGATAATAATATTATAATGTAATACAATATAGTACTAATAATAATACAATATAATAATTACATATTTCATGTAATATTACTAAAATATTACAGTATAGTGGTGTAATACAATATGGGAATGGATGGTACTAATATTGTGCTATGCTAATAATATAATATATTTACATATAACTTGTAAGCTGCTCTGAGTCCCCTTCGGGGTGGGAAGGGCAGCATATAAATGTTGTAAATAATAAATAAATAAATAAGCAGGAGGGCCTAATTGTCCTCATGTCTGTTTTGATGGTCTGTTTAGCAGCTACCCAACAGCATGTTGGGCTAGATAGTTCCTTGGTTTGATCCAGCTCGACTATTAACTTCTTAATTTTTTAATATCTACTCATAAATTGGGATACCTTTATAACTCATCAAAAGTTTCTAAAATAATCTACCTGGTTGATTAAACACTGGAGTCCTTATTAAAATTTAATTGAGGATGTATACTGTTGACAAGCACAATAGTTAAGATTGTTAAGGCTGCATGAAGGACTCCGGTTCTCAAAGCATATCTGAACTCAGTCTTGAAGGGGAATAAGTTGCGCCAACTAGGTTATGAGTGTGTACAGCTAGAAGATGTTATGTATATTTGTAAGTACCTTTAGATATTGGCATATTTCCAGACCAGACATTGATGCAGAAGATGTACATGTACAAACAAGCCCTGACCTATTTATTGCATTAACTGTGCTGAAAAAGCAGCCATGTCTAAGCATCAATTAACAAACACAGATATCTCTCTCTAATGACTTACATAATAGGCAAGGCAATAATTTATTTATTTTTTCTATTTTTTTCTATAAAGGCAGATGATTTCTTCCTGTGCTTGCATTTTCACATTAAAATGTTTTGTTATTAGTGATTACCTACATATTGTACTTTTTGGTTGAAGTCATGTTATAAAAAGACATGTAGTTTATTAAAAGCATTTTTAATTTTTTTTAACTCATTAGTGACTTCACCTCACTTTCCGTCTCTATGACAACTGGATTTTGAAAAAGTTGGCTTGTTGTGGAAACAAAGATTAGAGATAAAGCTTCAGAGGAGAGACCTTTTCCCCATGATAATCCTTTCCTAGGGGGAGATTTCTCTCACTTCCTGTTGTCTCATTCCTGTTTTTAACTATGAGTCGTTTGTAAGTCGGATGTTTGTAACTTGGGGATTGCCTGTACTTTTTCGCAACGTCATTTTCTGGTCCATACCATGACAGATGTAATAGAAATGAGTTCAGCAAAGGAAACCTAAGCAGCTAAACTCGAGCACATGAAACAATCTCTTAGTGGTTTACAAATATTAAAATGTGAGAGGCTTTGGTAAGAGCCCTAGCAAAGCGGTAGTATATTCAAGAGTGTTTACTGATTTACCCTTTTCTCAATTTAGGCTTTTTCTGCTCAAAAATTAGTTCACAGTTTTCCGTCCTGGGTGTGTTCTTGTTCATGACTCTGCCATTATCCATCCCAGATATTGTTTCTAGTTTCAGGTGACATATCCTTTAAGCACTAAGGTGGGGAGGGGGGCATGGTTTAGAGACCAGATCAATCCCTGCATATTCTTGGGAAATTTGGGAACGGCCTTTATTCCAACAGGCTTTTGAGAATTGGAGGTCTTCAAAGGAGAGGTGCTATAGTGTTTAAAGGATATTTTAAAATAATTTTTAATTATATGTTTTAGTCAAATGTCAGCATGCTGGAAGAAGCAAAGACCTCTAGCATTGAAGCAATGCTCCTAACTCCGCTGGATTAGTCACGTTGTCTGTATGCCCAATCATTATCTCTCAAAGCAGTTACTATACTCCCAATTCAAGAATGGGAAACGTAACATTGGTGGACAGGGAAAGAGATTTAAAGATGGGTTTAAAGCCAACTTTAAAAACTGTGGCCTTGCAGCTTCCTGGCTGTTTCCTGCTTGGGGCAATCCTTTGTTGGGAGGTGTTAGTTGGCCCTGATTGTTTCCTGTCTGGAGTTCCCCACATCTATGGCAGGCATCCCCACAACCTCTGAGGATGCCTGCCATAGATGTGGGTGAAACATCAGGAGAGAATGCTTCTGGAAAATGGCCAGACAGCCTGGAAAACTCATAGCAATCCAGTGATTCTCGCCATGAAAGCCTTCGACAACACATTCTTTATTCTGTTGGTTTTAATGGTTCTGACAAGAGCAGCAGATATCAGTACTGTATGTATAATCAACTTAATTAAAGCAGCTTGTTCTCTGGACTTGTTACAATAGAAACCTAATTAAGAATCAGAAAAATGTAAATACTTAACATCCACTGGGGTTGGGTTTTTAAAAGCAGAAACAGGGTGGTGATATTTAAATATCTATTAAAACTGCAGCTCATATGTTTTTTAAACAACTTTATATATACTAACATAAAATGCACAATGAAAACTACTGCAGTTTATCTCTTGAAATGTATTTAAATATGAAACATGGCTTTTCAGTATGATTTCTCTGATAAAACCAAGCTGTAATGGTATTTGGGGTGAGTGTCATGTATATGAACTAAATTGATTTGCTTAAAATGTCAGTTTACTGCTCTTATCAGGTAAGAGGAAAAAAAAGATTTCTTCTTACCAATTTTTAATTTTCTTAACCATTTCAGTGCAAGTCAAAAGGCGCTGGGCTTTAGCACAGCAGGCTAAACCACTGTGCTGCAGAAAGATCCTGCTGATCAAAAGGTCAGCAGTTTGAGACTGGGTTGGAGATGAACACCCGCCATTAGCCCCAGCTCACCTGCCCACTTAGCAGGTCAAAAGCAGAAATGCGAGTAGAGAAATAGGGACCGCTTTTAGCAGGGAGGTTATAATGGCGCCCTTAAGGACATCAATCGAGAAGAAGCTCCTTGGCATGGAAGGTGGAGCGACATCACTCCCCTGTGGCGAGAGTCTAGCACAGCCTCCAAGATGCCAGAAATAAGATTGGAAAAGCTGCCTTTATCTCTTCTGTGTTGTCTGTCCTTGTTAATTATATAATTAGCATTGAATTTTTCCCATATGTGTTCTCCCCTCTGAGTCCCCTTTGGGGTGAGAAGGGTGTGGTATAACTACTGTAAATAAATAAATAAGGGACAGTATATTCAGAATACATGGATGTCCAATGCACACATGTATGTCTGCACATACAGGCACAAATATGCACACAAATAATTTTTGTAAGTTCTTGTTTGTATGCATTATTTATTTATTTATTTATTTATTTCCTTTTTTCCAACTTTTCTTCCATGGATGGGACTCAAAGTGGCACTATGTTGCCACAACAGTTTTGTCCATCAAAATTACAGATATGTCCAATTTCCTTGTTGGAGACCTCTGATCTGTTATTAAGACCCCATCTACACAATGGAAAGTATAGATTCATATACTGCAGTTCAGTGAAGTTAAACGACATTATATGAGTCCACATGACCATATAATGCTTTATATGGCCGGATTAAACTGATATAATGCAGTTTCAAACCGCACTATATGGCAGTGTAGATGGGGCCCGAGACAACTGAATACAGGATATCACATTGGTGCAGAAACACCTACTGAGTTCATTTGCTCCTTTACAAAGCGATTTCAAGTCCTCAGTTTTTAAAACAATGGCAGCAGCTATGTTTATCCTACAGCAAGTATTGTGATCTACTAATAATTTACACAGAAACGTTGATATTTTTTAAATAAATCTTTGAAATTTTTAATTCTATTTTTACATCACAAAGGAGCAAAAGTCATTGCTAGTGCTTCAGGATTTATAATATGTGTGTCCATGGAATGATGTGTAAAAATATTTTTACATTATACATTGCAGCATTTAAACTTCTGGGTTACAGCGCAGCCATCTATTTGTTCTCCGGGTACCAAAAAAAGCAGTGCAGACCTTTCCTACAATTGTGATATGGTTTATCAAGTTGGATGCATGAGCATATGCAAAAGCCTTTTGTCACTGTCTTGCTTAGTGACTCTTAAAATCTGTTTAAAACCCAGAGAGGCTCTGTGATCTGAAAGTGCTTCAAAAGTGGCCAAGACCAAGGCGCATGAAGCGTCATCAGCCGGCTGCATAGCTGCTCAGGAATGAGTAGAACATGGGGAGCTTCAAGCGCTGCTGGTCCTTGCGGCACCAAGCAATAACAGTTCCTTCATTATTTGCCGTATACAAGTGATGTCCGTCACAGGAAAAGGTAAGGCTGTAAAGAATTTGGAAACAAAATAAAGTCTGTCACAGCTTATATAATATTCTGGCATTTCCATGTCATGCATTTTCTTTGTGGCTTTTCTCTTCCTCCCTCCCTCCCTCCCTCCCTCCCTTCCTTCCTTCCTCTTGTACTTTTTTCCTTTCTCTTTCTTCCTTTTCCTTTTGCCCACTTCCTCTGTTCTCTCTTTTCACTTTCCTTCTTTTTCTCTCTTTCCTACCTTCTTTCTTCCATTCCCTTCTTTCCCTTTCTTCCTTCTCTCCCCCTCACACCATTTCCCTTTTCTCTTCCTTCCTTCCCTCCTTTTCTTTCTCCCCTTCCCTCCCACACTTCAATTTCCCTTCCTTTCTCTTCCCTTTTTTCTCTTTCTTCCCTTCTCTTCTTTCCCTTTCTTTCCTCTTTCTTTTTCTTCCCTTCTCTCCCTTTCTTTCCTCTTTCTCTTTCTTCCTGCCCTCCTTTTCCTTTCTCTCTTTCCCATTTCATTCTCCCTTCATTGTTTCATTCTTTCTATCTCTTCCCTCCCTTCCCTCGTCCCTTCCTTCCTTCCCTCCATCTTTCTCTCCACTCATAGCTTTCATCTTTCTTTTCTTTCCCTCATTTTTCTTTCTTACACTTCCCTTTCTTTTCCTTTTCCTTTCCCTTCTTTTCTCTCTTTTCTTCCTTCCTCTCTCCTTTTCCCATGTCACCTAGCAGCAGCCAATTCTGTTTTGCTCCCTTTGTTTCCCAGTCACGTCACAGAGGGCCACTTCACCTAGCCACATCCAATTTACTTTGTTCCTTTTCTGCCCCTCTGCTTTAGCCCAAAAAGGGTGGGGGGTGGGTTTTATTCCAGTTCAAACCCCAGAATTATTTTAAGTTGGATAATGAAGGGTATGTGTGCCAAGTTTGGTCCGAATTCGTCCAGTCGTGTAGGCTTGATGAATGCTTTGGCTTTTATATATAGATATAGATACTGAACATTTACAAGACATAGGGATACAGTTTGAAAGAGAAGCAGACGAAATAATGGAATGCCTGTACTCGAATAGACATTACTTTAAAATATATATTGATTCTATGTTTTTGTTCTTCAAGACAACGTTTAAAGGAAAATTCAAGGTACTGACAATTTTACAATAGCGCACTATAAAAGCAACTGTAGATATAATCAAAGCATATGAAAATTGAATTTTTTATGTTGAATAGGTATTTTAAAAGTTGTAACAGTAAATTCATATGAAGCAAATGTTTTGTTTTTTTTTACCTCACAATAGGTTTATTTGATTTAGGAAATGTAATTTCCCGGACTGGTTTCAAATCCCATGTGCTCCACAGCCTAAAGATAAACAAATAAATAATTAAAATTAATGGTACAATAGACAATCTAATTGCAGGCAAAGTTTTCCAGAGATCTGGAGGTAGTCTTGTGCCTTCATTAATGATCACAGTATAAACATTCTAATAATTGGTCTTGGTATGATCTCTAGGCATACCCATGTGTAAGTTTTTGTAATTTTAAAATTTCATCCAGAAACCCAAAATCTAACTCTCTGCAATGTTGCTCTACTGCAGTGGTTCTTAACCTGTAGGTCCCCAGGTGTTTTGGCCTACAACTCCCAGAAATCCCAGCCAGTTTACCAGCTGTTAGGATTTCTGAGAGTTGAAGACCAAAACATTTGGAGATCCACAGGTTGAGAACCACTGCTCTACTGTCTTAATACACACATATATATAGTATATGGCTTAGGTCCAGGTTATCTGAAGGACATTATTTCCTTCTATGAACCTGGTAGACATCTATGATCAACTGAGGAGGGCCCTCTCTCTGTCCCACCACCTGCTCAAGTGTGCTTGGTGGGAACACAGGAGAGGTCCTTTTTGGTGGCTGCTCCCAGACTGTGGAACTCCCTCCCAAGAGAGACCAGGATGGCCGCATCTCTGATGGCCTTCCATAGGCACCACATAAGAAAGGTAGCTGGAGCTCAAATATGTCCAGCCAGATGCTTCTGGGAAGTCCTTCCTGTCATTGGTCTTTCCTCCCCAGATATTGCTATTCAAACACATTTCATTTCCTTCTTATAGCTAGTTGTTGTTGAGAGATCCCTTCCATAGTGATGTGTCTACTGCCCCTTTTGAGAACACCTAAACCATGTCTTTCATATCGTTTTGTTGTAGTTGATTCTATATACAATAAAAAGTACTTTTCTTTGTCTGTCCTTAATATGTTGCTGATCCATTTCATTTGATAATCTCAAATTGTATTGGATGAGAAGCATAAGCCATGCATATTGCTCTTTGTCTCCCCCAAACACCAAAACATGTAAGCTTTTCTTCATATGGAAGCCCAATATTTTTACCATGTCTATGACTCAGTAAATCCATCTCTCTTAGCCATACACAGAGAGAATGAATAGCTTTGGAATGATATAAAGTTTGAATTCTTTTTTAAAAGATAATGAAAGAATGGATGAACATTCATTTAAAAAGACCAAAGAGCAACCTGTTTCTTAGATATGTATGCCATTTTGATAACATTGTCTAAATACACATTTTGTTCAGTAATAAATATATTACCTGTTCTTTTAATTTTTATAAAGAGTAAAATACATTTTAATGTATTGTAAAATGGTCACATCTCTTCAATAACTTGTTACAAAGTTGACAAGTTAGGATCACGAAAATAATAACAATAATAACAATAATTATTATTCCCCTGTTTTATCTCTCCAAAAAACAAGACTCAAAGCGGCTTACAGTAAAACCAATACAATACAGTTTAAAAAAACCCCCAAAATATAAACATTAAAATAGAATATTAACGGTATAAAAATAGTTAAAAACCTTAAAACCAATTAAAAACCTATTCATACCTAAAACCACAATATCCCCTGATTTGATCTTAAAAACCTCCTTCTTCAAAAGCCTGCCTGAATAAAAAGGTAAAAATGGGTAGGAAGTACTTCACAGCAATAATCATATTTTTAAAAGAGATGTTAGGAAAGAAAAGGAGGGTAGATAGTTCCAGAATATGTCACTGTAGATTTTTAAAGCAATGCATACAACCAGAAAAGAAAATTATTAATTATAGCTACTCACCGGACAACCCCATTTTCTAACCCCCCAGCAATCACATTGATAGAGACACCTTCAGGCTGGTTAGAGAAGGCAACGGAGCATATGATTTCTCTGCAGTGCACATGCCCCACAAGGTCCCCGTTCACTGTCCACAGTCTGAGGTCACTGCCGCCACCAACTGAAATGCAAGAGAGCCAGAAATAAGATAAAATTATATATTTCCCCAAAGAACTGCTCAACTAAAAGTATTTAGTTTCCCTAGCTGCTACAAGAGCTGCGGACTAAAGGAAATGAGGTTGTAGCCCCTCCCACTGGCTATATACTATTTGGCAAGAGTGGGCGGGGCTTCCACCAAATGGATCAAGAGCTTTCTAGAAAATTCCATTTCTGACTGCACAGGCATAGGAAATACCATATGTGTGATTTCACAGAAACCATGTGAAAGATTTATGCGATCTGAAGAGAAACCAGAGTATATGGAAATGAAGATAGTTTGGGATGATACAAATCAGACATTTGTGATTGTTCTCATGTCACTGCTACTATAATTTTAAAGAGCCAGTATATGGAATAAGTTTTAATGTTTACATTGGAAAGTGCTTATTGTACTTTTAAAGGTTATATATTATGTCAAGTCATGGCCTATGGCTGGTACAATAAACAATTCAATTCAGAGACCATGCTGAAGAAACAGCATTTTATAAAACAGCCCCCCCCCCCACCCACACCCACCCCACACACACATGAACAAATCTATTACTTAGAACAAATAGAGTCACTAGGAGATTCAAATCATACAGAGAATCCACAAACCTAATTTGGGGCTTTTCAAACATTTAATGTTATTTAATGTTATCTATGTACTTTGTGAGATAGAAACCAACTACCCCAAACTGCATACAAACCAGCAGCAAGGTAAAGCTTTATTTCTAACCATATAGGAGGATAAACACAGAATTCCACAATGGAGTCCACAGCTTTGGTTTTCTAGGCTATGGTTTGGGATGTGCTGCAGAACAGTGCTTACAATACCTAGTTTTTCTTGGGTAATCTTTTGTGAGAATACTAAAAACTGGGAAACAGAGAATACTAGAAATGTTTCAGTTAGATTTCTATATTGTACTAAGATCTTACAGTTTTGAGTATCCACGAGAGATTCTACCAGTTGCCTGTAATCAACAAATGGCTAAAATCTACATTAGCATTAGCTATTTTTTCCTTCTCTTCTAGATTTGCATCCATTTCAGAGGCAATAGGAACATCACTGCTATTTGTCTTCATTTTGTATCTATAGTTAATGAACACTTTAATACAATTCCCATGCTGCCAGTTACTTAGTATGAGCAGGCAACGAGGAGATGTAATATTAGCAAAAGCAATTTAGGCTTGTATTCCCCCCTTAGGAGTTTCTGTGATGCAAAAGTTTGGAGAACAAATTTGACCCAAGGGTGATTTAGTCAGAGAATTTAAACTACCATGTACACTTGTGTACCCATGCGTATTGCTAAGCAAACTTCCATTTTGTCTATGAACATGCAGAGTAAAGAAGCTGACTGGAATTAAAGTGCTGCACTGTGTTCCGCCCAACAGTACCACAACCCTTGATCTGCACATACCAATAGCATCAAGCTACATGGGGGATCCAACATGAGGCAAACTGTGCCAAGGGGCTCTCCGGATCCCTGCTAATACCATCTACTGGACCAGTCTTTGTTGTTATGAGCCAGCAAGGATTTTAGCAATTAGATTTTAAAGAGGCATCACGGTTCAGTGAAAGAACATGTGCTATACAATGAAGATGGTCTCTGTAAGTAGAATGGTGGAAAACTCTTTGTATCAATCTAATGAAGAGACATTCTGCTTGTAAGAAGACTGTACAAAAAATCCCCATTCCCTGAAAGACACATTCCTGTTCAGGGCTCCGGCCAGATTTGAACACCAGCCGTATGATGTAATGAGAGGAAGTTCTGAACAACTAAATGATACCATCCTGTCACACACAACCTGGAACCAAGATTTTGCTCTGTTGTGCTACATGGCGGCAAGTGAACAGCTACTGTGAGTCAAGACAGACAATACTGAGCAATACTGAGCAATACAGAGAACGAGATTGACCTTGTAGGAGGCAACATCTAACATATGTATTCATATGTCAGAACAGGTGAGTTGTCCTGACAATTTACCTGTCTGAATGCATGTCCCTCTATGAACCATCACAGAGGTTAAGATCTTCTGGAGAGGCCCTGCTCTCGGTCCCACCATCTTTGTAGGGGCGACTGGTGGGGATGAGAGACAGGGCCTTCTTAGTGGTGGCCCCGCAGCTGTGGAACTCCCTCCCCAGTGGGATTATATTGGCCCCTTCTCTCTTGTCATTTTGCAAACAACTGAAATCTTGGCTTTGGGAACAAGCATTTGGCCCAGCATAATTATCGGTGCAATACAGTTGGAATTGACTTTGGATTGATGAATATGATTATCTGATTATCTGGCTTTGGATCTATACACAATAGATTTCTATGCACAATAGTTGTCTAACATTTACATACGTTGGTTTTAATGTTGTTTTAATTGTTGTTCGGGCATGGGATAATGCCACTCATGCAAGCTGCCCTGAGTCCCCTTCGGGATGAGAAGGGTGGGGATATAAATGTCGTAAATAAATAAATAAGTATACTAATATGAACACTAAACACTATCATTTTATAGCTATATTATTGCAGAATATTATTATTGCAGAACAAAAAATGTGTCCTTCTAATTCTAATTGGTCAAGTCCCTCTGCATTTACCAGATACTCTAAATTGCCTCAGTTGGCTTAGGTGAGGCATTGTTTAGATCTTCCTTCAAGTTGTGCCATCTCTTCTCATGTTTCATAATTTCACCTGGCTATTTCCTTCGCTAGAGCATTTCATGTTGGGCAATGCACTATGAAAGTCCTTGCATGTATATGAAAATATCCATCCCATCCTTGCACTGGCTGCCTTATAGTGTTTTCCATATGCATTCGATTTGTACCAGATTAAGGATTCTCCTTATGATTCTATATTTTCTTCTGTTTACTTTTCTAGCTTGGCCACGTGCATAACTGGGCAAGGAGCCATAGTTTCGTTACCGTAATATTTGTCCTCCTGTCATGTGACTCTTGCCTTTCCGGGTGGTAACAATAATCTAATCCCATATGATGTTCATACACAAGACTTTCATGGAACATACCAGTCTACTAATATTCAATGCACCTGAGAATCAGTTACATTTTCATTTGGCCCAGTTGAAATTTCTGGACAACATATCCCAACAGAAATTTGTTCCACGTGATTTAATTTTTTGAGTCTATATTTCTCTGTCTCTCTTTCTGTTTTACGCTGTGGTGTATTTTATATTTAGCCTTTCCTGAAGTTACTAAGGTTACAAGACCAGGCAATTTGCTTGGAAGCACCAACCTGAATCACAAACTGTTGCAACGTCCCCTGTGGTTTCACTAGCAGACACTGCTGTTACGGGGCTCTTGTGTCCAGCGAGACTTTGTACATAGCACAACCTGTGAAAGGCAAAGTTTTCAAATTAGACAATTAGATTACCACATTAGTACCAACACATTGTTTCACACAGCTCTTTCCCATACTAATTTTGAATAAAGGCAATTCCCAAATTACAAACAAGATGGGTTCTGTAGGTTTGTTCTTAAGCTGAATTTATGTGTAAGTCAGAACATGTATTTTTTAAAGTGTAACTCCAGATGTATAATGCGCTTTAGATAGCATAGGGAAGGGTTCAAACCCCCATGGTGTTTGTTTTGCTGTCTGTGCCCCTGTTCAGAAGATTTCCCCTCACTTTCTGTCCCTGTGAGAATGGGATTTTGAAAAAGGTGGCTTATTGTAGAAACAAGAATTGGTGATGAAGCTTCAGTGGAGACACCTTTCCCCTATGATAACTCTTTCAGGAGTGAATTTCCCTTCTGAGGGGTAAGTGTCATTTATATAAGTTGGATGTTTGTAACTCAAGGACTGCCTGGGTCCTACCACTAAAACTTTTCTGCAGTACCAATATACTAAGTATGGCACAGATGGAAGAGATGCACAGCTTACACATAAATGTTACAATTCACGAAACAAAGCAAATCCATCCTAAATCAATAAAAGTTCAGTACAATGCAGATATGAAGACCTATTTACCTGTTCAAATCCCATATGATGCAGGTTCCATCTTTGCTTACACTTATCATTATGCTGTAGGGCTTGCAGACAAACAAGCTAGTGATCTCTGCAGTATGGCCATATAGATGGACCTGAGACTCCATTTCAATCTCAGAAGGCTGAAAAACAAGATCACCCTATGGTCAAAATGTATTGTGCAGAGAAGAAAATGGGGCAAATACTGTCCAGGAAATGTAGTTTATGGTGAGACTTATGTGGCAGATATTTTAATACTTTACTTTCACTAGATTCAAGGGACTAAATCCAAATGTTAATCCCAAACACTGAATTGGTAGAAATTTGGTAAGTCCACTTTTATGTCAATTTGACTGATTTAATGGGTGTAGTATTCTAGTTAGGATCAACTGAAACGTTTTATAATTCTGATCTATACAGTAGTGTTTTTTTTTTTATTTCACCGGGTTGTAAAATAGGTTGTTCAAGGCTCAAATCAAAGGCACTTATAACTCTTAAAAAACTAGAATACTTAACTGACAAAGCAAAGGTAAAATTTTCCCCTAGTATTAAGTCTAGTTTTGTCCAATTCTGGGGGGTGATGCTCATCTCAGTCTTTGTCAGTTAAGTCCCACTTGTGACTTTTGTGACTGGCTTCAAAGCATGAGTGGTACATTCCATAAACACATGTAGTATGCTCTTCTTTTGAGCAAAACCAGACTAGACACTTATAAAGGTAAAGGTAAAGGTTTTCCCTGACATTAAGCCTAGTCGTGTTCGACTCTGGGGGTGGTGCTCATCTCCATTTTTAGCCCAAGAGCCAGCGTTGTCCATAGACATCACCAAGGTCATGTGGCCGGCATGACTGCATGGAGGAGCACCGTTACCTTCCCTCCAAGGTGGTACCTATTGATCTACTCACATCTGCATGTTTTCAAACTGCTAGGATGGCAGAAGCTGGGGCTAAGAACAGGGGCTCACCCCGCTCCCCAGATTCAAACTGCTGACCTTTCTGTAAGCAAGTTCAGCAACTCAGCAGTTTAACCTGATGCAACACCAGGGGCTTCCAAGCTGACAAGTAAAGGATAATATGGCATTATCTGTGAAAGACACCTTCTTCAGATCTCTCACTTAGTTATTAGCATAAAAATGACCAGATGACTGTTTGAAGAACCAGTTACAAGTAAGCTATCTGTTGCTCTATATCAGGCATCCTCAAACTTTGGCCCTCCAGCCACTTAAGCCTCCAACTCCCATAATTCCTGACAATTGAACAAGCCATTAAGGATACCTGCTCTATAGAATTGGCCTGCCTCAATGTACATGTTCTTCCTTAAATTCATATTTTTCCCAGTGAAGAGCACAGTGATTTTTTGCCATAGTGAAGAACAAACTGCTATGAGAAAAAAAAACCCAGCTACAATATTTAATTCCATTTCTCCCTGCCTTGAAAAGCCAGAGTGCTAATTAAGCTACAGGATGTTGCTACAGAAGGCTAATAATGGTACACAGTCGAGGTGAGAGACAACAATCAAGATACACTAGTTACACAACTCGAGAAGTCAGGTTTGCTAGACTTCAGCAGCCAACACACCAACCCTAAGATGTCTTGTGACAAATGTTCAGGAATATAAATGATCTTTTCTGCTCATACAGTTTTACACCTCAAAGCAGTATAGTAGCATATTGACAGAATGCTCTAGTTTTCAATGCACAGAAGTGGCAGTGCAAACAGTGTGGAATCGCAGTGTTACATACTTCAGTAAGTTACATATGAAGACTGTCATTGGTATTTTCTGTGCTGCACTGAATCACGTTGTTCCCTATTACTCTTATTCAGCTGGGACCAAAAGCCAAGACAGATGCTAGTGAGCATGTTGTCATGCCATATGGCCTTGTCTCAAGAAGCTGATTAGACCCAGAAGCTGCACTGCTTGCCTGCTGTGCTGACTATGTGCAAATGCAGGACTGTGGGGAATCTACAGGGGAGGGACAGACACACCTGTGCAGCAGTGTATATAATGGGCACTTAAACACTATGTAGGCCCAAACTGCAGTAATTTATTTGAACATTACATTTTGTTGTAGTTTAGTCGTTCAGTCACTTCCAACTCTTCGCGACCTCATGGACTAGCCCATGCCAGAGCTCCCTGTTGGCCGTGGCCACCCACAACTCCTTCAAGGTCAAGCCAGTCCCTTCAAGGATACCATCCATCCACCTTGCCCTTGGTCTGCCCTCTTCCTTTTTCCTTTCATTTTGCCCAGCATCATTGCCTTCTCCAAGTCTTCCTGTCTTCTCATTATGTGGCCAAAGTACTTCATCTTTGCCTCTAATATCCTTCCCTCCAATGAGCAGTCGGGCTTTATTTCCTGGAGTATGGACTAGTTTGATCTTCTTGTGGTCCAAGGCACTCTCAGAAGTTTCCTCCAACACCACAGTTCAAAAGCGTCTATCTTCCTTCGCTGAGCCTTCCTTAAGGTCTAGCTTTCACATCCATAGGTTTGCTACTGAGAATACCATTGCTTTAACTATGAGGATCTTTCTTGCCAGTCCGATGTCTCTACTCTTTACTATTTTATCGAGACTGGTCATTGCTCTCCTCCCAAGAAGTAAGTATCTCCTGATTTCCTGGCTGCAGTCTGCCTCTGTAGTAATCTTCACGCCACAACACTATTTTAAAACTGTAAATAAATCTACTTTTTGTGGTCAAAATAACCACCTGAAAGCAGCTGTATTACTAATCAGATTTTTTTCAAACCCAAAAGTTAAAAAATAGTTTCAATGTAATAGGTTTTAACTTGACATACCCATTATGTTCTGGAGAATTGTTAACCAAATGTCAAAAAAGTGTCTAATTTTAATGGGCAATCCTTCCCCCAGTCTTTTTCCCTAATAGGAATTTCTTTTCCAAATCACAGTGCTTTAAAAGGTACATGTTGCAGGTATTATTTATTTATTTACTTTTTTTCTCCACTTTTCTTCCCATAGCAGCTAACAACTACACAATTTGATCACAGTTTAAAACATAGCAAATACAACATTAAAAAAACCAAATTAAATAACAATTACATATGTCTTTTACCAGTAGCACTCATCTCAGTAGATCTGCAGCCTCCGCCAGATACTTTAAAACACATACTCTAGCTACTGTATCACATAATCTTATTGTAGATATCCTACATCTCAAGGGAATTGAGGCCAACTATCTATTTAGAAAATCTATGAAAAGCAGAAGCATTTTGCTGTAATATTATACTGTAGTATAGCACATATATTACAATATAACTGGTGCATAGAAATGGGAAACATTTCCTTTTTAATGTTATCATGACTTTTAAATGATCTATAACAGTCTGATTTTTAGAAAGTTAACAGTTTCCTGGTTTACTTACTGTACTATTTGTGAATCTGTTCATATAGGCTGTGATGACACCACATTTGCTGCCAGTAAAAAGTTGACAACTGTCTGGCACCCAAGCACAACTTGTTACCTTAGATATAAGAACAGAAGAGACATTATAAGCATGCAATTTTAAATACTGGAAAATCCCTCAGCAATAGCTAACGTTCTCTTAGCCACAGAGGTACCTAAATGCAGTTAATTATCAGTCAGCACTGATTTACATAATAATTATGTATAAGCAGTTACTCCTGTGATACATATGATACTTCATGGGAAAAGGTGTAGCGATTGCAGAGGTGTGGTACAGAGCAACACAGACGAATTGGCTGCTGAAAAATGCAAAGTGCCATTTATTTTTTTTATTTTTTTACAGTATTTATATACTGCCTTTCTCACCCCTGGGGCCTATAAATGAATGTGGACATACATGAATTTCCTGTATCAAGACTCATTAACTTCACATTTTCTGCATGCCCTATTCCTTTACACCAGACATGGGCAAACTTCAGCCCTCCAGGTGTTTTGGACTTCAACTCCCAAAATTCCTAACAGCCGTTATCAAAAAACATCTACTCTCCATAAATATCTTGTTTCTATTTCATGCTCTCTGGAGACACAAATTTAAGCAGACATCTTTAAAACAACACATTTGTTTTACTCACAACTTTATGTATTTAAATAAACAGGCACATTTCTTGTTGGTTTAAAGTTTAAAACATTTCAGTTTGTGTCTTCAACTTTCAGTCTTTATCAGTCTCTGTACAACTCTCCTTTATAATCGTCTACTTCCAGCTGTCATCTTCAATGGTCATCTCTCAACTGTTATCTTTTAACAGTGTTCTAAACCACGCATTCACAAACTGTGGCCCTCCAGCTGTTTCAGCCTCCAGTTCCCAGAATTCCTGACCATTGAACAAGCTGGCTAGGCCTTCTGGGAGATGATGTCCCAAACAGCTGGAGGGCCGCAGTTTGAGGATGCCTGTTTTAAACAGTTCCTGATCTGGTCACATAGTCTGCAGCCCCTCCCACAATTTCAAGAACACAGATTTAGGAAAAACCGCATACCAAAGAACACATATACACTTCAGTACTGAAACAGCATATTATATACAGAAAAATCATTAAACAGAGGAGGCTTGAGAATGTTGCCTACAGTTTTCTAGTATATCCAAACAAGTAAAATGTGGCTAGATCTGTTAACAAACCGGAATATAAAACCAGCATCAGGCCCTGATCAGTTTGTAGAGAACAGTAACCTTGTTCAAATGTAACTGCAAACTGTGCATTTAACAAACTATAGCATAAATGATACATCCAAGAGGAAGAGAGGGACAAAGATAGAATAAATATTTACAAGCCTTGTTTTGAATTTACTAACACAGTATTTGCCTAAGGCCTTAGTTGTAAATGTACCATAAAATTCTGGTTTTTTTTCTTGCAATGAAATGACTGTTAACCTTACATTTTTCAAGCATTGTAGTCAATAGATTAAAAATTAATTTACAAGAAAAGAATTAAGGAATTATACCTGATGAAATTGTGAACTTTGTACAAAGTTAACTGGAGGTTCACTCTGCTTGCTCTTCAGCCTTAAGATATTGTCGGCATAACCCCAACTCAGGATAGCTGACCACTGGATATCTGTACTGTGCATACTTCTGACACCTGCAACAATAGTCAAGACATTCAGGTGAAACAGGAAATATCCACTATTCTAAGCTATAACAAGCACTGCTCTTATAGTGTCCAGCTTTTATGCAACAATATATGGCATTTTTGACTTTATCCGAGCAGTTCATATATAGTATAGATTTCCCTTTGACATTAAGTCTAGTCGTATCAGACTCTGGGGGGTGGTGCTCACCTCCATTTCTAAGTCGAAGAACCAGTGTTGTCCCTAGACACCTCCAAGGTGAGTTAGAAGACAAATACCCAGAATTAAGAGGATTAAGGGACAACAGGTACTTCCCCTTTAGAAAATCAAAAGACCCAAAATCAAACTTTGCCGGTTTTTGCCTGGCACAACTCCAGTTCAACTTGGATCTACTGATCCTAAATGGATCAGCCTCAGAGGATAGCTGTGGCGAACTCACTTTCTCAAACCCACTCGGCTCCAGTACAGTGGATTATGCCTTAGTCCTGAGAAATGCCTTTTATAGAGTCCAGAACTTTAGCATTGGTACCAGAACTGATAGTGACCATCAGCCCTTGATTCTGGACATAATTGTCTCTGGTCATAAAGTTTGCCTAAAGTTCTACCAAGGATCACTACCACAGGGAACTCATTTAAGCTTAGTGCCAAATGGTCAGACGAAGCCCAGGCTCAACTTACGGCCAGACTTAAATCAAAACCAGCATCAAGTCTAAGATCAGTAATTCTCTCGGATCGACCAATGGAATCTACTCTGAGAGCTTATGGTGAGCTAATCATTGTACTACAGGAAGACCTAACTTTTGTCCCCAAGCCTGGCCACCTCCAACACACTGACAGCAGACCTACCAGACCCATCTGGTTTGACAAAGAATGCCAGATGATGAAAAAATCCTTAAGAGACACCTCCAAGGTCATGTGGCTGGCATGACTGCATGGAGTGCCATTACCTTCCCCCTGGAGTGGTACCTATTGATCTACTCACATGTTTGACCTGCTAGGTTGTCAGCAGCTGGGACTAACAGAAGGAGCTCACTCTGCTACCTGGATTTGAACCACCAACCTTTCAGTCAGCAAGTTCAGCAGCTCAGTGGTTTAACCCACTGCACCATGTGAGTAGACCAATAGGTACCGCTTTGGCAAGAAGGTAACGGCATTCTATGCAGTCATAAGGGCCACATTATCTTGAAGGTGTCTACGGACAACGCCGGCTCTTTGGTTTAGAAATGTAGATGAGAACCATCCACTAGAGTTGGACACGACTAGACTTAATGTCAGGGAAAATCTTTACCTTTTACCACAGTTCATATATTTGTATTAATATTGCAAGCACATCTCAAAGAACATAAACTGTGTAACTTTTAGATTTTGTTAATATGAATCTCTTTTCCTGAAGTTGCTACAAACAAGTCCACGTGTGATCCATCAGAATTGCAAAAGAGAGTTCAAACCATGCTGAAAATTGTTTACATAGACCAACTTCCTCATGGCTCCTAGAGGGTTTTTTTTTAAACTACATCTGGAGAATAAATTAAAGTCTGCATGATTCTGCGGATGTAATTAAAATTGCTGCAATGCACACGGGATCCATACAATTTCTTCCAACACAGTTCTGCTCCCATACAGTTTGGGATTTCCAGAAGAACTATACCGTCTAAGCAGCACATGCCTCAGTATTATGTGTAATCTTTTGGTCTATTAGATAACAGAGAATCTAGATAATCCCACTGCCATTACAATTTCTTTTTCCAGGGCTTCTACCCAGACAAACATAAGATAACATCCTTACCTTGCTCTTTGCTATATATCATCAGAAGGCAGAATTTTCGGGACAAGCCACAAATAGCTCTTGTGGGTAGAGCTTGCAGAGAGCCAAATCTTTCTCCATGTGGCTGGCTGAAGCAAACAACAGGATCAGGGGCACTGGGAGAACCTACATATTCACCCCACTTTAAGCCTTTGATCCAAGGTAAAGGGCTCTAGAAGAAAGACAATTGTCAATAAAGCAATTGTCAATAAAGGAACTGTAAAGTACCAGAACAGGAAGATAAACTGAAAACTTAAAAGTAAAGATACATGTATCTAGTTAGATATAAGGTCCTAAAAAGTATCAAAAGGGAAAGATAGGAGGACATAATGGAAAGTTCAGATGTAACAAGCCCAGTCTGTTTAGTTCAAAAGGACAGTTCTGGTTCCTATCTCAGATTTAGGGTTCCCTTTTCACCACTTTCCCATTTTGGAGTTTTTTTCATGTGTCAGGAGCCACTTGAGAAACTGCAAGTCATTTCTGGTGTGAGAGAATTGGGCGTTTGCAAAGACATTGCCCAGGGTATGCCCGGATGTTTTACTATCCTTGGGGAGCTGGAGCTGACAGAGGGACCTCAACCTGTTCTCCCCGGATTCGAATAATGGAATGAACAGAGTGGAGTAATGGAAGCTATACTTTAAGAAACCACAACAGTGCTGCTGAATGAGGATTTGAGAGGATGAAGGAGGGGGGGGGGGAGGAATTCTGTAACCAAACAGAATTGGATTTTTTTTTTTTATCAGAATTGTTCACCGGGCAAATCATCTAAGGCAAATCACATCAGTCTGATCTTTTCATTTTCAGAGCCGATAACTGGTTTCCTGGGTAAAAGATGCACACTAAATCTTATCTTGGATTTTGGTAAAACATTTCTGCTAAGAAACACACTGACGCGATTTAAGGAAGTAGTATTCTGCTTAAAGCTTTAGAGAATTACTTAAAAGAAGAAAAATATCTGACCCACTTTCACATGGCAAAAATGCTCCACTCTTCTCCCATACAAACATTCATGGCCATTAAAATAAAGTAAGAAAGCACTTTAAAACACTAGTGATGATTTGATGGTTTGCAGTGCAGCAAAAGGAGGTTCCAATTCAAGTACAGTGGGAAACAGAAAATTAATTCTGCCTCCGAGTCTAATTTCCTTCTAGATGCTCTCTTGACAAGTTTCCCCCCCTCTAAAACAACTTTGTTTTAATGGAAAAAATGGCAATGCTACATACTAAATTGTGGATAACCTTAGGAATAACACTGATATACCCTTATGAATAACAGTGATATACCGGATAAACAATCTCTTTGGTCGGCTCCTTCGTTTCTCTGAAAGCGAACTGCACTAATAATCCCATGGCAGCAGGGAGCTCTCCTTCCATAATGAGTTTGGATCCAGGTCTGCTGACATGTGCAGTGTGGAACAGCTGGCGAGGGGTTTGTCCGTATGTCTTTATCATAGTCTCTAGGGCTCTTCTCTGAACAGGATCTTCAACAGCCGATACATCCATGCCAAAGTATGTCTAAAATATGAGTCAGAGACAGAAAAATAAAGCACTGTGTTTGTGTAGGAGGACACACACACTATATGGGTCTCACTACATAACCTGATGTTCTTAACATGTGAGTACATATCATGTACTTGAATCTTTATTTATTAGGCAGAATTCTCAAATAGCCAGGCACAATTCAAACCTTGAGCAAAGTTCTACCAAAGCCTTGGAATTAACTTCGTTATTTTCTCTAAGTTTTCTGTATTATCTAAATAAAACATATTGCACACAGAAGAGAAAACGGAGAGTTCCAGAACTTGAAAACAAAAAGAACCAGTATCTTTAGACTACTGTGATGTTTCTGGACTCATGTCCAGGATACTTATCCTACCTATTTCTGTTAATTGTTATGAATAAATTGAAATTATTCTCAAGAGATTGTTATCTACTCCATGGCTTCTTGACCCCATTTGGCCTAATAAGTTTTTACATGACCTGGGTATGGAATTATAGAAACTAGGTATAAAAATAAAATGTTTACTGATAACAACTCAGCATTTACAAGACTTACTAAATTGGCTGATTTTTCTTTTCATGAGGTATGGCTGAAGCATCGCTGTAAACAGCACACAACAAATTTGTGTAGAGTCACTAGGTAATGTTTAGAAAACATTTGCTGTTGTCAAATTTTTGGGACCCCAACATGGAGCTAAGGGGACCCCGTTTGGGGTCGGGACCCACAGTTTAAGAAGCCATGATCTATCCCATACTTTCTTTAGCACAGGATGGACAACTGCAGCCCTCCAAGTGGCTTGCAACATCCATCAACTCCACTATACAAGACTACTTTTCTCCAACCAGTTTCTATATTGTACCAATACAAAAAAAAAATGGGGAAAAAGGATACTTACAGCAGGGTGAAACACATTGATAGCTTGAACTGAAGCTTTCCCTTTTTGCTTATACCCAAATACTAAATCAATCCAGTGACAGATGGTCTGGGAAACATGATCAGACTCTAAAGCTTGACGGTGGATCAGGATAAAAAGTCGGGGGTCATTTCGAGCCCATGGTGGGAGGTTCACATGGTTTACTCGTTCACCATTCTGACGTACCCCAAAATCAAATCCTATAAAAATAGGCAGTAGTTGATCCTATATGGTTTATATTTGTATAATTAATAGAATACACATTTCACTATTATAGATATTATATTATTACATTGTAGTGTTATGTTGTTTATTTTTATTTTTATGTTGTGAGGCTGGCAGGGAAGACATGAATAATCTATTTGCCTTGTTTGTTTATCCTGTAAGTTCCTAAAAATCCTAAAGACACCAGATACAATCTGAAACCAGGTGCTGTAGGTTACATTTCAGAAGAAGGAACTGGCAAGATCACCTCTGGACACTCCTTGTCTAAGAAAACTCTTTGAAATTAATCGGGCCACCACAAGTTGACAGGCAATTTGAAGACACAGACAGGAGTGCTACACTCTTGTATTCAACTTATATTTCTAACATTCCATTCAGATACATCAATACAAAATTATAATGGGATTTACATTGCCAGATATACCTCACAATTGGATGAATGTTATAAATGAAAACGGTTTCTATTGAGTTTATCCTAAACAGAGTTTTCTGGATCTTAACCAATAAAGATTTTCAGTACTTCAAAAAGAGACCTTCAGATGTAGAACTCAGGGTAAAAGTCACTAGCATTAAATGAATGGATCAGATAATATACAATGTTAAACATATATACAGACTCTGGGGCATGAATTTATATTTCCAATCCACTATGGTTGCAAGGAGATGGCTAAAGTAGAAGCAGATTCTTTCTAAATGCAGTTTGTGGCTGTGTTTTTACAGTTTTAGTAGGGAGATTAGGTGACTGAAGTCTGGCACAGGACCAATGACATTTTATGCCACAGCGATGGAACAGGAAAAGGTTCCCACATTGGTGATAGAGATAGGGCCAAAAGGAAAGGGAGGTAATAAATAATTAAAATATTATTATGGTTATTGTTGTTGTTGTTGTTAGCCGAAGTCTTGGATTCCACCAATTTATCCCATTGGTGGAAACAATGGGATAAAGATGTGGTAAGAAGCCTGCATAGTGGTTTGCTGTGAGTTTTCTGAACTGTATGGCATTTTCCAGAAGCATTCTCTCCTGACATTTTGGCCACATCTATGACAGGTATCCTCAGAGGTTGTGAGGTCTGTTGAAACTAGACAAGTGAGGTTTATATATCTGTGGATTCAATCAGGGCCGCTAACACCCCCCAACAAAGGATTCCCCCAGGCAGCAATCAGCCAGGCTTTGAAGCTCCAAGGCCATTAAATGCTAATCAAAGTGGCTAATTGCAACATTAACACTTGCCTCAAACAGACAAGAGTTCTTTCTCCCACCCTGGACAACCCAGTGGTTCCGGCCATGAAAGCCTTCGACAACCTGCACAGTGATCATCCAGTACAGTCCCCATGAAAGAAGCTGGTCTACCCAGAAATGCCAGTCTGTTCAATTCCTGTCTGAAGTTTCTTCTTAGTAAAGGCACTATGGGAAAGATGGCTTGGGAAACTACTTGTTGAAAAGGCAGTAATTTCTAAACCCTCCCCTCCAAAAGTGGCTCTGAAGAAGTAGGCAGCTCTGGATACATGCAGCTTCCTGTGAGAGACACGTACTTGGCAATCTGCAGGGTGTTCTGCTCTGCTAGAAATTAAACAAGACCTCAGGTTGTTATTATTTTTTAAACTGATATTGGCTCAATATTTTATCAGCATACCTTCTCTGTTGACTAAGAACTCAGGAAGATAGAAAAATTCTGGGATCAGCTCCTTTACATCCGTCATGGATTCATAGGATGAAAGGCGCCAAGTTGTATTAGTGGAGTGGAAGGTTCTGTCTGGTATATCAAAACTCTGATCTGTAAAATAAAACCATATCAATCTGAAGAACATAGTATATCCTAATTATACATTAAGGGAATGTATAATTACAATGGTGAAAAGAAAATAAATATATTTTGATCTTAAGATGTATATACAGAGCAAATTTACCTTGATATGCTAAAAACATCTTTGTAAAAGGAGGCATTCTAACCAGGAAATGGAGCACTGTCCCACTATTGGAATAATGAGATCCATAGTGATAAGGCTGCACAGGTGGCATTGGGTCATCTTCTCTAGCTCCTTTACGGTATTCGTCTTCTAAATACTAGAAGAGGAAGAGCCCACAGAACAAAGGTTAATTTCTCTGTAAGAAAGAATGGACATTGCTTATCTACACCAATATATTTATTTGAAGTATTTAATACTCTTCCTTGTAAACAATAATAAAGTTGAAAGACATTATGATAAATATCAAAGTATCAGATAAAATTAAGAATAAATAAAATAGATATTCAGTGTTCTCAACCTGTAGGTCTCCAGGTGTTTTGGCCTACAACTCCAAGGAATCCCAGCCAGTTTACCAGCTGTTAGGATTTCTGGGAGTTGAAGACCAAAACGTCTGGGGGCCCACAGGTTGAGAACCACTGGGCTAGATCAAATGAAAAAGTTTTCACATGGCACCAATAGATTGGTGGCAATCAATGCACTGTGGAAACATCAATCCATGTGAGGCCTTTTCAGTGGTGGCTCCTCAGCTAAAGAACTCCCTCCCCAGTGATATTAAATCAGCCCATTTCCTCCTGACTTTCAGAAAAAAGGTGAAAACATGGCTTTGCGGCCAAGCCTTAAGAAACTAATATAGTGCAATAGATGACTTGGATTTATGTGTAATGATAATTGGAATGGCCTGACCTTGATTGTGGATAACATGATTTTATAGCCATAAGTGGTATTGTTTATTTTTCAATTGCTTTTAATCTTGTTTAGATTTTTTAACGAAATGTTATTTAATTGTTGAATTGTTTAAGGCATTGAATTTTTGCCTCTGCTGTAAGCTGCCTTGAGTTCCCTTCGGGGGTCAAAAAGGGCAGGATAGTAAATAAATAAATAAATAATCCCTCTCAATGAATTCATGTTTCACTTCTGAAAGCAAAGGAACTATGAGTAGAGCCTCTGGAGAAAATCACAGGAAGAAACAGTTCAGTAACAAACCAGTTCCAAAAGGACTGAGAAAAACAGTAAAGCCACTTTCTTGCAGAAGCAGACTTGGATCAATTTATTCCACTCCAGTTAATACTTTAGCAAGCCCAGAAATGATTAAACCCAGCTGTTATTGCAGTGGTCTCAGAGGGGGGAAAGAACCAGCAGAATCTTCCCCACTGTCCTTCCTTTTTCCTTGTGTGTTATGTCTTATTTAGATTGTATACCTGAGGGCAGGGAACTGTCAAATCAACAATTTGTCAGCAATTCTGAGAGCGTATTTAATGAAAGGGGAGTGTTTATTCTAGCCCAGAGATTTGCAAACTGTGTATTGAGACACACTAGGAGGAGGAGTAAGGAGGAGGAAACATGGAGGAGAACAAGGGCTAGTAAGGGCTTAGAGAGGGGTTTTGGTGAGAAGGAAAGAACAAAATTGAAAGAGACCCTCCTCAAAGGGCATCTAGTCCAACCCTCTTCAGTCAGGCAGGAAGACACAGTCAAAACTCTCCCAACACACAGCCATCCAGCCTCTGTTCAAATACTCCACTGGAAGAGACTCTCAAAGAGAATCTAGCCCACTCCCTTCTGCCAGGCTGGAATGCACAATCAAAGCAACCCTAGATGGCCACCTAGCCTCTGTTTAAAAACCTCTAGAGAGATTAATCACTACAGAAGTGGAGTGCTGGTGCTGTACAAGTATAGGTACTGTTGCAACTTTTATAATTTGCAGAATTTGTTGATTGGGTTGCAGTAATTATCACTAACATTGATAAAATTTTAATTAAGAAAATAAAATCTGTTGAAAGTGATGTTTGTGATTTAACCATATGGAGCTGCTATAGAGGAAACTACACAAGAATCAACTGTAGTACATAAGTAGCGTGAATGAAAAAATTCCAAACCAAGGTTTAGTCTGTAAACACACTCACACACACACTCACACACTCACACACACACACACACACACACACATATAGAGGGGAGGGGTTAAAATCATATAAGGGGTTGGGTTAACCTCCAGTTTGCTATTAAAATTGAATTACCATGTCGCAAAAGGATGCAAGTCTAAAAAGCATGTCCCCAACATAAAATGTTTGGAAAGATGTGCTCTAGTTAGAGTGCCAGCTACAAACTAGTTTTAACAACAAACCTTGCCACAGTTGTTGCATGAATGTCTGATGACAGTAGTCATAGTCAAGGTTTTGTAGTATGGGCTAACTCAGGAGGGGGGACAAGGGTTGTTGCAGGAAGGGAGGGGTTCACAAGCAGCTTTGTGGGGCTCTCGGGGGAGGCCCACACAGCTGCGTGTGCCTGCAGGGCACTCCTCTTCATGGGAGGACTGGGGCCAGGACTATGCCATGTTCTAGGGCCCAGGCCAGGACCTGAGGTAAGAGCCCAAGGGGCTGCATCTGGCCCGCGAGCTTGGATTTGCCCATGCCTGTGCTAACTCTAAAAAATACCCGAAGTTCAGTTTCAAGAAGCCCATGGTATAATGCTTTGGAGTATGTTTTCACTGTTTTGTTTCTTAAAATAGGGTCTGAGGGCTTTAGCCGTTTTATTTGGACCACCAAAAGAGGTGGGTGCTCTATGTGGTTTACAATTTCCCTACTACTGCCCGAGATCAGCCAAGAAGCATCCACTAGCAAATTCTATCACTGCTTGCTTTATAAAGTTTTTTAATTAATGTGTCTTAATTTGTATGCATAAAAAATAACTCCTTAATTTATTTGATACTGGTAAAGCAAAGGAAGGAGGGCATCTTCTGCTACTGCTTGTTGGGGTTTCCAGGATCAGCAGTTCTTATCCTTTTCACCAAAAATACATGTGGAGGGAGCGTTGAGATTGCAAAAACAACCCCCCCCAAACAAACAAAAAACAAAAAAAACAAAACCTTTGCAGATTAAGTACAGTTGGAATAATTCCCATCCTGCCTTAATAAATGAATGCAATGTATTGAGATCACTACTACGTTGCGGAGCCATATTTTTAAAAGCAGATGGCAAAAATCTAGTCATGCATTGTACCTTTAACACAGATGAGGTATTTTTATATCAGCGAAGCAGCCAAAACTGTTACAGTCTGTTTTGTAATATTTAGTTCAAGACAATTGCACCTCAAAAATGACTGAGTAGCTCAACAGTCTGAAAATGGTTTGGAAGATGAGCAAACACAGACAAGAAAAATATTCTGTAACATCCTTCAAACAACACTGAGGTCAGTTGAGAAGATGTATGTGATGGCCTTTGATCAGAAGCCTGTTTAGAAAAGAACACTGATTCATATTTTACTGACCTTCACTCATATAAAACCACAGTCAAGAATGTATCAAAAGCAAGGCTGTGGAATTCCCATATATCACAGGCGAGGTTTGCCTCCTCTGATTTTTTTTAATTTTTAAGTTTCAGGAAAAGACCTTTTGTTTACCTAGACTTTTGACTGAACTAGCCAATGAAACAGTCTTTTAATTGGGGTATGTTATATTTCCATTATAATTACATTTTAAATGCCTTTTTCAACTTTTTAAATCAACATTTTTAATAAGATTGGGTTTCTGTAGGATCCGTTGTTTTGTCTGCACTTGGTTTTATCCTGTATAATGAGCTGCCTTGGGAAGGCACCCCCGGTGGCACAATGGGTTAAACCCTTGTGCCGACAGGTCGGAGGTTCAAATCCGGGGAAAGCGCAGATGAGCTCCCTCTGTCAGCTCCAGCTCCCCATGAGGGGACATGCCTTCCACAAGGATGATAAAACATCCGGACGTCCCCTGGGCAACGTCCTTACAGATGGCCAGAAACAACTTGCAGTTTCCCAAATCACTCCTGACATGGGAAAAATGCTGCCTTGGGAGAATTACAGGATAGAAATTAGAGAAATAATGATTACATGAAATTTATTTAATCATAACAAGGATAGGTTAAATATTTCCATACCTTGTAAGTGTCCACATAGCGGTCTTCTTTTTCTTTGGATTGTACAGCTATTGGTTTGATTAGATTTCTGGAATTATAAAAATATTAACATATTCTTAATTCCATAAGCTACTGATATTTACTGTAATTATAAAAATAGGATAATAAATGCAAATTAAATTGTTTGTTAAAATATTTCTTATACCTATAAACAGAAGGATCATTTAGGTCCAGTGTCTCACTAGTATAGTCGGAAAGTATAAAAGGAAATACTGGATACTGCATGAGATCGTTGAAGGAACGGCCTGCGTGTTTGTTTAAATGAGTGAGGTATTCAAAATTAGTAATCTGTCCGGTGTACCAGAGATGGGTCAATGCAGTAATGTTTCCATACTCCAAGAGGTTGGGGAGATTGTTTGTTAAAATGTTGTGGTACACATCATCACGCACCTAAAAAAATTCAAAATATCATGGTTTTATCAAACTAAAAATGATTTAGTCTTCTGAAGCACATACATTGTCAGTTGACCTCATTTTATTTCAGCACTTTATTTTAGCACATCCTTAAAATCTTAGTATGCATTAGTTTTCAACACTCCTTAGGCGGTCATTCAAAAAGATAGCTATTCCTAACAAAGTACACAGACACAGAGAAATATTTCTATCCTCAGTATGCAATTTATGTGCCAGCTTTAGAAAACTGCATCCTCTAATAATCAAGGTTCACAATAATACCCCCAATAATTCATTCAATACGAAAAAACCCCAGAGTGCCTTAATCTTCATCAATGGATTATTAAACTTTTTTGTTCGAACAACCCACTGAAAGAACTTGTTTTTATAAAGCTCTCTCTTTGGTGTAGAGGTGTTGAATGTTATTTAATCAATTTTGACCTTTTTTGGAAAAAAATATGTAACATTTTAATGAATAAGTGTTTCAGTCAAGACCACTGAAGTAGTAATCTCAATACTGCCAGGACAGAGTCATCCTACTCACTGAAACAAACATGTTCTCTAGTAGCAACTGTTATTACATCAATGTCTGTACATATTTTTTCTGTCATAATTGGCACAAGGAGGATAAACCCAATTGGAGTGGTTTGCTTTTCTGTGCCATCTAAAGAACCGACCAATTTTCACCGACTTTTCCTCTAAAGCTTTTGAATGGGATTAATTCTAAAATGTTCCCATTCTTACAAAAAATCAAAACTGATTCCCACAACTGACGGCCATGCAACAGACTCAACGTAAGATGAAAATGAAGTAAAAAAAACCCTTGGTTATCATTTGCATACAATTGTTTTTTTCTTGCTTTGGCTAGCACAAAGATATCTATGCCTGAAATGTAGCAATGAGTCTGTCACTCTTTCTCTGTCCCATTTTGGATTCTTCCGTAGACATTTTGGTGCATATTAAATGTAGGAAAAACCCCCATACAAATTGCAAAATTGTTACCTTTGTGTTATCAAAAGCTAATAGTAAAGTTCTCCCATTGGTTAAAAATATTTCCACAGCATTGTCTCTTAGTTGCCACCAACGCTTATGGACTTCTTTAATTTCTTCAAATGTCCAAGAAAATGATGCTGGTTCTGTTTCTCCATGAAAACTCTGAATAAGATAGAGCAAATTATGGTTATTAGCTTTAAAGTACAGCACGTTGTGGTTATTAGGTTTTAAAAGGGCATGATTTTAGAATTAATTTCTTTGACATGCAAATAGTTTCTAAACTTCACACATTTTCGCAATAAAATTTGTTATAAATGGGCATATTCTTCAGTATTGTTATTGTTAATTCTTTTGCTATTGTTGATGTTATATTAGAACCAACAAACTCCCAATACTTTCAGGGACTTTCCATTGGGCTTGGAAAATGTATATGTAGCCTCCAAAATGCCTTTTTTGCCTCTCCAACAATGTATCCCCCGCCCTCCAAGTATTTGTTAGCCAGTGTTTTAGTCCACTGTGAAAACTGGTAGCAAACCACTCAAAGTACTAAATTCAATGAGGAAAGGAAGGTTATTGACTATGGCACTGACTCTCCTACTGTCTATTTAAACGAGGTAGTCAATATATACTCAAAAACCAAGATTATATCAAAATCAGTTTAAGTAGATGGAATGTTCTTCTGCATGTAAATTTAATTAAAGTTATTTGATTATTGAGAGATTTTATTAGTAGATAATGAATGAATGTGGGATTTTTAAAAATTAATAATGCAATTTAAATATGAAAATAAAATATAAACAGAAAAGTGGTTTATTTTCATCAGTGCTGTGCATTTGCTTCATTAAAAATACGCTAAGCTCTCCTTGGTCCTTGGCTAACTGAGTGTGTGGGCCTCACTTTCCCAATCTGAAAAGTGGCTGCTGGTTCTATAGAAGTAGCCCACCCTTCCTTTAAACAAGAAACATTTTTTCATAAAGGTATCCTGCCTGCATTCTTGGCAGCCGATTTAAAGAAAACTGTCTGAAAATTGATACAGTTGCTTTGAGCACAATTCTTTCAGCAGAAAATACATTCAGGATTTTGAATATATAAAAAGGAAGTTTACTTCTTAAATTTTCACAAAGGAAATTTAATTATCCTAATTACATCACACATGGAAAAATGGTTTTGATGCCTCAGCATTCTTAAAACAAATTATTATTGGAATTCCATTGCAAAGCAATTCACAGCTTTCACTTACGGAGCTTTCTACTGTATCAGAAGCATTGTCTTCCACGAAGTACATTCCACATTTGCCTGCACGATTAAAGAGGAGTATTTTAGAAGCACATGATTTATAATGCTTTTTAAAGCCTGCTTTGTGAAACGCAAACTCACTAAAGAAGGTATATAACCTGGAAGTAAACCATTGTCAACAAACTGACTTGAAAATATTTTACTTTAGGTATTCAACAACTGAATGCTTTAAAACAGTAATTAAACTGTGTTTATTATACTGTGTTCTCCAACTGTAAAACCCTCTTAAATTACTTATTTCTCCAGTGCTTTAGGATCTTATAGGCAGGCCCTAGATAATAAAACTACAACGAGAGTATCATGAACTAGTAAGATGATACTAGAAATGCCACTGGAAACAGTAAACAAGTATACCGTATGACAGGAATTGACCAAGCAACTGTAACAGCAGTATTGCTATATCAGTTGAAAGAGGACAAAACTGTATGTTTGTTTATTTATTTATTTATTTGCCATATTTATCCTGCCTTTCTCAACCCTGAAGAGGACCCAGAGTGGCACAAAAGGCACAATTCGATGCCATACATTACATACAATACATATCCAGCAAATAAAAAACATATACATTAAAACACCCGCTAAAAACATATCAACATTAAAATATCTTTAAATATCATCGCGCATATAATCGAGCTTGACTCCAATTTCATCACAGTACCAGATGAGGTGATTGAGGCATCTGCTTGTCCAATTTTGTGGGATTCTTTTAGGCTTGTTCTTCCTGAGACTGTGGAAGAGGTCCTTGGAGCTGTGAGGGCGATCACTTCGACTCTAGACCCTTTCCCATCATGGCTAATTAAATCGGCCAAGGAGGGGCTGGTTGATTCGTTTGTGTTGATCATTAATGCATCGTTGGAGCAAGGGATTTTTCCATCTAATTTGAAACAGGCTGTGGTTCGTCCACTCCTCAAAAAGGCTTCCCTTGACTCCACAGTGCTGAACAATTACAGACCGATCTCCAACCTCCCTTTTTTGGGTAAGGTGCTGGAGCGGGTGGTCGCCTCCCAGCTCCAGGGCTTTTTGGATGACATCAACTACCTAGATCAGTCACAGTCTGGTTTCAGGCCTGGTCACGGCACCGAGACAGCCTTGGTCGCCTTGGTGGATGACCTCCGTAGAGAGCTGGACAGGGGGAGTGTGACTCTGTTGGTTCTCTTGGACATCTCAGCGGCTTTCGATACCATCGATCATGGTATCCTTCTGGGTCGTCTCTCTGGGATGGGTCTTGGGGGCACGGTTTTGTCATGGCTCCGATCCTTCCTGGAGGGTCGATCCCAGATGGTGAAGCTGGGAGACGCCTGCTCGGACCCCTGGCCTTTGACCTGTGGGGTCCCGCAAGGCTCTATTCTGTCTCCCATGCTTTTTAACATCTACATGAAACCGCTGGGAGAGGTCATCCGGAGTTTTGGAGTTAGGTGCCACCTCTATGCAGATGACACACAACTCTACTACTCATTTCCACCGAATTCCAAGGAGGCTTCTCGGGTGCTGGACGAGTGTCTGGCCGCTGTGTCTATCTGGCTGAGGAGGAACAAGCTGAAGATCAATCCTGACAAGACAGAGGTCCTTCTGGTTGATCGCAAACCTGACAGGGGTATAGGGTGGCAACCTGTGTTGGATGGGGTTACACTCCCCCTGAAACCACAGGTCCGCAGTTTGGGAGTCCTCCTGGATTCATCGCTTACGCTTGAGGCTCAGGCATCGGCGGTGTCTGGGAGGGCTTTCGCACAATTAAGACTCGTGCGCCAACTGTGACCGTACCTCGCGAAGGCTGATCTGGCCGGAGTGGTCCATGCCTTAGTCACCTCTAGGGTGGATTACTGTAATGCGCTCTACGTGGGGCTGCCCTTGAAAACGGCTTGGAAATTCCAACTGGTTCAACGAGCAGCAGCCAGGATGTTGACTGGCGCCCCCTACAGAGAGAGGTCAACCCTCCTGTTCAAGGAGCTCCACTGGCTGCCGTTTATCTACCGAGCCCAATTTAAGGTGCAGGTGCTTACCTACAAAGCCCTGAACGGTTTGGGACCAGCCTACCTGCGTGATCGCATCTCCGTCTACGAACCCACATGCTCTCTTCGGTCATCTGGAGAGGCCCTGCTCGTGATCCCACCTGCGTCGCAAGCGCGTTTGGTGGGGACTCGAGACAGGGCCTTTTCCGTGGTGGCTCCCCGCCTCTGGAACACCCTCCCCAAAGATCTCAGACAGGCCCCTACATTGGCAGTCTTCAGAAAGAACTTGAAGACTTGGCTGTTCCGATGTGCCTTTCCCGAATAGGAAACCTCCATTAACAAGTCCCACAAGCACTTTATTAAAGCCAAGACCACCGCACACTGCACTTGTCCATAAGCCTCATTTCCACCTGTCACATCAGCACTTTTAACCCTTGTACCCTTACTCTGGCCCGGCCCAGTTTTATTGTGTCTTAGTGGATTGTTCATTGCTTGTTGTTTTAGATTGCTTTAATTGTTTTTAATTTGCCTAGGTTGTATTGTTGTATTGTTGTTGAGGCCTTGGCCTTTGTAAGGCGCATCGAGTCCTGCGGGAGATGCTAGCGGGGTACAAATAAAGTTTAATAATAATAATAATAATAATAATAATAATAATAATAATAATAAATCACATAATCCAACATCATAGTCCAGGCCATTCCAGTTATCACTGTAGTATAATAGAAAAGGTCCCTTCTTTAAAACCAGCTGCCTTTACCCAGTTCCTTCACTCCCCACTTAAAATCAATTTCACGAATTACTTAGGTTACTGCCCACCATACTTCTCTTTCTGAATAGCTTCTGCTGGGACCAATATAGGACCCTCTGTTATCAAAATAAGTAGCCGAGTACACCGCATTCTGTCCTTTTCCAAAATTATTAATACAACAGCTGTCAATATTTTATGCCCTCCAATGCTTGGATGGAAGATTAGTCCCAGTTCCTTTGAGTTCTAGAAACAGCAGTTCATCAGTAAAAAGTCAGAGAACACAAAAGGAGAATTTTAAAAAAGATCTGGTATAAAAGAAGAGAAGAGTGAAAAAAGAAAGAAGACACAAGTACCTAAATTGCAAAAACTGGTCACATTTAAACAGTTCTTGCTTTATCATCTCTTTATAAACCCTCACTGAAGCATCATTCTCAGCTACTTAGACAAAAACCAGTTTGTAGGGCTAAAACTAGACATTATATTAAATGTGGAACTATCAAAGCTACTTTTAGGCCTGCAAGGGGGTCTTCTACTGACACCAATTTTACTGGCATTTCATCAGGAAGAAATATTATTAACACAGAATATATCTGGAGCACTGCATCCAGGGTTCTAACTACTTACTGTTACATGGTTGTTATTTAGAAGAAACTGGGCACATTAATCATCAGCTGAACACCATATCCAAACAACAGGTACATGTTTGTATCCAATAACGTATATGTCTAGTTAATTTCCACTCAATAACAACCATGTGGTGATCATCAATCAGGTTCTGGACAAAAGTGCCCTCGGTGTGTCCCACTTCATCTATATTTCCAGAGCATTACAAAACCCTCTTCACAAATAAACCACTGTTATGTAAGAACCCCATTTTTATAACACTAGTGAAAACAGCTTTCTTACCTAGTAGCAATTCCCCAGGAGTCTCTCTAGATGGTGCCACATTGATGCATCTTCGATTAACTCTGTAATGATATACAGAACTAGTTTTTACCTAACATGTATTTGAAACTACTATTCTCAGAATATGTTAACAACACACCATCTGTGTTCCAGAATTTCAAATACACCATTAAGAATGAACATATTGGTGCAATGCATTGATTTCTAATAGCATATTTACCTAGACAAATTTTATATTTATTATGGACTAGAATATCTCACAATTTTAAGACTAGATTATTTAGGGCACTTTCATGTTTTGTTTTGTTTTTTACTTGAGTTAGGTGAGTGATGGAGTAATAACATTTTGAAATTTCATGTCAGGCAGACTTAATTGCCAGTACTTACTTACTTCACACTTACTCAAACTTTGGCCTTCTGCGTTAAGCCAACCCCGACCGGGACTGCCTTCCTCCTGGAAATCAATGCCTTCACTGCGGGAGATGATGCAGATCAAGAATAGGGCTCCATAGTCACCTACGGACCCACCCTGGAGGATTATCCTACTCGGACAACAAGGGATTGCCTAAGTAACTAAGCACTGGCAATTATTTATTTACTTACTTACTTTATTTGTATACCGCTCTTCTCAGCCCTTAGGTGACTCAGAGCGGTTTACAACAGTTTCGGTATACACAATACAAAATCATTAGGCATTTAAAAGCAATAGCATCACAAATCATTAATCTGCCTGACATGAAATTCCAAAAAGTTATTACTCCATCACTCACCTAACTCAAGTAAAACAAAACAAAACATGGAAGTCCCCTAAATTCCACTTATATTTAAGCTCAGTATAATTCAAACTGACCTTATATGCTCACTGGCTGCTTTATCCTTTACAGTAGATGAGTGAGAGGAATGTGTTTTGTCTTCAGAGAGGTAAGCCAGAGGGGGTTTAATCATCTCTGTTAAAGTACAAAACAAAACAAAAACTTTAATACTTTTATATTTTAAGAGAAAATGAATGAGATGACAGAAAATAGTAAAAATTACCTTCTGCCTTTTGCCTGTCTTTAAGAAGGTACTTATTTGGAATAGTTAAGTAGCACCTCTGCAAACGCCGCCTCTCTCTGTTAGGGCCTTCTGTTGGATCTAGTTGCCAAGATGTAGGATAAGATGCAGGGTCATACCAGAGTGCTCTGAGAGCAGAAGAAGTTGACAAATGATAAGACACAACTTCACTCCTCGCTTAAGATAGTGGTACAACATGCAGAACATCTAGATCTTTCTGATATTACTTTAGGATTAACAGCTTGGTTCCGAACAGCCTTAAAAGATGATCATACATTCAATATGTTCAGTTAAACTAGAAACAGATAAGAAAAACATAATCCCTTCTCAAGAGATGTAAAGCTGGAGATGGTAATAGTTTTGGAACACTATCAGCTTGATCTGGCTTTCAGTGACCTGCATTAAACTAGGAGGAGCGCTGGCATATGTCATTTTGTTCATATCCTACAGACTTAACTGATCCTGACTTTTGGAAGACATGTAAAAAAAACCACCGACAAGATTTGCTTCTTTGAAGAACAGATTTACTCTTTGTAGAACAGGTTTGTTCCTTGTAAACACTGAATATGTAAAAGTACTGTACCAATAAAACAACAGTAACCAAGACACTACATTAAGTAGTTAATAAATGAGGAAACGTTACCTACATATATTTCAAGATTTCCCTTTTTTTTCTTTTTAAGATAGCAGCAGCCACAACTCATGCTTCAAAAGGCAGCTTATTACAGTGAAGTGGCTTACCTATCATGTGTAAGCTGCTGAATAAGCTCCTGCCAGTGCCTGCTGGCACTTAGGTCTGTTTTATACATCCCTCTGATGTGCTGAATCACCTTCTTTCTTTCCATTCCCTGGGACAGAGACACAGCCTGAGTGATGTCGCCAGCTATTTTAGAAATATCCTTTGATTTTGCATCCAAGCGCTGAAAGAGACTGAATGAGAATACCAGCTTAAAAGGCAATTCCCCTGATTAACTAATGACAAATAAATAAAACCGTTACTAACAACCTAAACTACTATATTTACTTGAATCTAACGCTCACCTTTTTGGCTAAATTAAGTGACTAAAAGTGAGGTGAAATTAGATTCAATGGCACATTAAAATCGCTCACGTAAACCTACCTGCACCCCTACGTCAGGTTGAGTCTAGCAAACTCACCAGCCTCAGCCTGACAGACAGAAGGGCACAGCTTCCCAAGTGGCCTCATTCATGATGCCTTCAAAACCTCCCCTTTGGTTCTGAAGGTCTCCTAAATGAGGCCTGAGTTGGGAAGTTGCCACCTAGCCTGATGGACAGAAATGGCTTTCCTTTGCCTGTCAGCCATTCTGAAGCAGGCAGAACAACCAACAGGTAAGGGGAAGATGTCTGTCAGGCTGAGACTGGTGAGTTTGCTAGATTGAACCTGACGTAGGGGTGCAGGTAGGTTTACGTGAGCGATTCTAATGTGCAATATGCAATGTGCACCTTCAAAATTGAGCTGTGCATTACAATTGATGGAGCATTATACACAAGTAAATACAGAAATTCAAAGAGCTACATGCAAACCAAAGTTTTAATGTCTCCCCTTTCCAGTCTTTGTAAACCCCAAATCCTCTCTTAAAGTTGCAGGATCCCCAGAATTGGGTTCAACTTGGCTTGTGATGATGAAAGTAAACAAGCAGTTTCTCCAGCTCACTTTTTACTTTTATAAGACAAATATTACATTATAATGCTGTGAGACCAGGTGGATAGTATCAATAGAGCCCCTCTGATCCGCTCTGAGTCCCTCCGGGTGCACGTGTATGTGTGTATATGTGTATGTGTGTGTGTATATGTGTGTGTGTCTATCTATCTCAAACCATTTTGTGATTTGGAGCCTAAGGCACAACCACCAACACCATTGTAATTGAGTCCAGTAGTAACAAAAGATGTTGACAAAAACACAGGTGCTCTAAGCGGCAATTTAATACAAAGTCTACCTAATTTCCCCCCTCTAATGCATAATAATTCAGTCTATGATGTTTCCTAATTATCTGTTTTCGGTTTCAAACCATCAGTTGATACAAAGACAGATGTAGGAAAATAAACAGTGCAGCAAGTCATATATTCCTTTCATTCCCATAAATTATCAGGCATTTGGAAAGGGAATACTTTGGTGCTCCTTTCAGTATCAGTGCCTTTTATGATCGGCCAAAAAAAAAAAGAAAAAAGAAAAAGGTAATAACTTACGTTTGCCGGTTATTAGCCATAGTTTTCTCCCAAGCAGCTTTGTTTACATCTTCTTCTGACTCATATTTCTTTTGGTCCTGACAACAATATATATATATATTTAAAAATATTAAATAAAATTTCCATTATTTCCCTATTACTGCATGTTACTTACATGGGGAAATATTGATTTTACATAATTGCATACCCACCTCCAATTTTATTTGCCTCATATACATAATAAAAACATCTTAAGAAATTAAGAACCTACATGATGGAACTATTTTCTATTATGTATAAACATATCCCAAATTGGAAGGCACATATATGCATATGAACAAGACATGCAAGGACTCTAATGGTGTCAAAGCTAATAGGTTAATATGCAACAGACATATGATGATCATAGATGTCCATCACAGATGAGGATTAGTATAGAAAATGATCATATAAATGTACGCACCTCTTTCATAGCTTTTATGAGGTCTGGCTTTGGTGGTGCATTGATAGGAATATATTTGTAACCACAAAGTTTTAATGCATTCATAAATGCTCCCACTAGTATTTGCTCTTCACTAGTTAATTCATCCTTGTGATTATGAATTAACTCAAATAAATAGAGAGACAACTTGGGCCCATGCTGTAAAAATGTAATACAAAGAAATAGCTTATGTGATAATTCACACACATCTAATTTTCACAGGTAGCATTATACATCTTGTTACATGTATCCAAGAAGTTTTGCCTCAAACAGCAAGCAGTTCACTATGTAACATGTCAAACCATTTTGATATTAAGGAACTGGAAGGAATTTGTAATATAGCTTTATTTATTATTCTAAAAGGTATCAAAATCTCATTGAATCAGATTATACAAAACTGCCAATCAAGATGACAAAAAGAGAGTCAAGTCATTGTGAAAGTATCTGATTAATGTTGTACATATATAACTGGAACCACTGTGGTTATGCAAGTGACAATGGGTGGGACAGACTGACCAGTTAGGAAAACATTCAGTCTTGAATATATTCACCACCTCCTCAATTGGTAGGATAGTCTCTTGGGATATTTCTCAATTCCCACATGGTGGCTACAACCCTGGAATGTGCTTTCCAGCTTCAATTGACTAATTGTGCTTAGCTACTAGAGAGTTACCGCAATTACTATAATAATTTGTTTTGATCTTAAAGATCTCTTCAGTCCAAGTGCATAGGATCTGGCTAAACAGCTCTTATGGAAAATGCCATCATCTCATTAGGGAAATATACAATCTATGAAGAATAAAATGTTCTCTGGGAGTCCTGAAATATTCTCCAAAGCACGTGAGCATTTTGTAGAATAAATCAAGCAAGATCAAGCAAAACATAGCATACAATAGGCAAAGTAGAAATCCAAACAATTATTTCTTTGATTTGTCATGATACACTTCATAAAAGGAACATTTTGTCTGATAAATTTTGTGGCCCATAATTTGCCTTGAGAGCAAATAATATGGAAGTTTTTAACTGCATTATGCTGATTTTACCTATAAGAAGTGTCGTAATGCTTACTTGCAAAGTCGGACTCAGACAATCTCTCAAAATTTCTTGCTGATTAATTTCCATTAAAATCTCCAGTGTTTGCTTCCTTTCTTGTAGACAGCGTTTTGGAGACAAAGCATACACAAGCAGTCTTCCAAGCTGTGTTCGAAATGTATCCTTGCAGGCCAAGAGAATTCGCTTCCACTGTTGCTTTGGGGTGCTTATCCGGCTGGTACCCTAAATAAAGAAGAGTGAAATCCCCTTACTGTTTGCTATTCCCTAACCTTATAAATGTAGGCTTTAACGAACTATAGAGTTAGAAGAGACCACAAGGGCCATCCAGTCTAATCCCCTACTATACAGCCACACACAATCAAAGCATCCCTGACCGATCGCCATCCAGTCTCTGCTTCAAAACCTCCACCACACTCCAAGACAGTATATTTCATTGACGAAAATTGTATCTTACTGGACTGATGCTGGCAGATAGGAGTCGGTTATACTGTTTTACAATTGTTCTGCTCCTATCTCCAAGGTTGGTTCTAGAGGGAGACATTGGGGGTAAGACTACTGAGCCCCATGGCTATGATGTTGTTGCAGAGCCAGAGGGTTCAATCTTGTCTCCTATACTATTTAATATTTATATGAGGCATTATGAGTTTTGAAGCTAGGTGTCATCAGTACACAGACCTTCTTCTCATCAGAGTTCGCTAAGGTTGGAGCACTGCCTGGATGCTGTAATGGGCTGGATGAGGGTGAATGAATCAAAGCTGAATCCTAAAAAGAGAACAGCCCCTGTGGTTCTGAAGTATGGAAACTGGGTAGGGCACATGCCTTGGATGAAGGGTACAATCCCCCTGTGATGAAAAATCTGGGATTACTCCTAGATCCATTCTTGTCACTTGAGGGCCAGATAAACTTGGGGGCTCAGCAGGCTTGAGGCCAATTTTGACTGGTGCACCAGTTATAGCCTTTTCTTGACAGGGATAGCTCACCACTGTAGTCCATGCACTGGTAATTTCCCAATTAGACCACCGCAGTATACTCTAAATCGAACTGTCCTTGACAAGGCTTCTGAAGGTTTGTGCAAAATGGAACACCTAGACTGCTCATGGGATTCCACTTGGATATTATACAGCATCAGTTTATTTATTTATTTATTTAATACACTTGTATACCGCTAATATCTCAGCCTAAGTCGGCGACTCATTGCGGTTTACAACAATTAAAAACAATATACAATTTAAAACAACAACACATAGACAATACAAATTATTGGGCCACCAATAATAATACCATGTATCTCGTCACTAAAATCACAGTCCAGAATTCGTCATCCATAATTAACCAGTCCTTAGTCCATAAAATTCGGTGATAACAAACTAACCGAATGCTTGTTTACACAACCATGTTTTTAATCTCTTCCGAAACACCATCAGCGAAGAGGCTGATCGTATCTCTATAGGGAGGGTGTTCCAAAGCCGAGGGGCCACCACAGAAAAGGCCCTGTCTCTCGTTCCCACCAGCCGCACTTGGGAAGCCGGTGGGATAGAGAGCAGGGACTCTCCAGAAGATCTTAGGGTCCTGAAGTTCTGAAGTTCTGAAGGAAATTCACTGGCTGCCAAAATACTTCTATTCTGAGTTCAAAATGTTGCTGATAAAATTAAAATAAAAAACCCTAAGCCATTTGGGGCACAGATACATGAAATACCACTTTTCTATATACAGATCTACCCAAGAATTGAGACCTATTGGAGGGAGTCTCTCCATCATCAACAGGGAAATGTATTACAGAATGATATGGGAAAAGGGACACTTCTGTGTTAACATTCTGTTTATGGAATTCCCTCCCTCTGGGTTTGATGGGTGCCAATACTAGTATCATTTTGGCTAAAACTTGGCTTTCTATTAAATATATGTTTTATGGTTATATTGTCGAAGACTGTTTTAATTTATTGGAAATTGTATGTTTTTAATTGAGAAACTATATATGTTAAACTCAGGGGGCTGCTCTAATTTCTAGCAATTATTTATTGTTTGAAGTTGTTTTAAGCCACACCCTGAGATCTTTTGATAAAGGGCAAGATGTAAACACTTTAATAAAGTAAATAAATAAAATGAAATTGTTTTTTGAAATTATTTTGATTTTATGCATTAAAATATAATGCAAACATTTAAATGAAATTAGTTACTCCTGGCATTTAAATGAAATTAGCTACTCCCCTCAATATACACCATATATTTGGTTTACAAAAACAACCAAAACAACTTAAAAGAACCACAGCAATAACCACAAAATCAGGTTTGGATTAGAAAACTTTGAGATTTTTAAAAAAATGACGTATGTATAAAAGAGAGAAACTTCCAAGATTATTCATATTGTGTTTCTTTAAAAGCATATTTACTTTTACAGATAAAAAAAAACATCCAACAGAACATTAGAAAAGCAAAGACTAGAACATACATGCTCAGAGTAAGTAAGCAGGTTAGAGGTAGGGAAGACAGCACATTTCAGGAGATAGCATCAAACATGGTTACTTACAACTGATAATCCAATTCCTTCAATCATTATTTTAAACATTTCTTTCAAGAAAGGATTTTTATAAGTAGGTAACTCCTGTTGGTCTCCTTTATCTGTCTCGTCCAATTGTGAAACTGAAATTCTGCTTTGGACAGAGCCTTCTATCATATGAAGATAGCTCTCAGAAAGTTCTGCAATGTTTAAATAGTATCATTAGGTCAGCGCCTTATCAGGCTAATTCAAGTCAGGCTACTTTTGTAAATACAAATCAAATAACCATTAAATTATAGGAAATAACATGTTTCTAAATCAGAGATGGCAATCACACAACTCAGGGGAGGAGGCAGTCAATTAGGCCTTTGACACAGATGATAAATCTATCAGTGTGCTTTTTAACCAGCTGGAATTTCACTTCTAGCTTCAGAAAAATGTTGGTAGCAGGGTCAGGAGGATCCAAAAAGGGCGCATGCATGTATTTAGCCTGCTCTAACCATATGTATATATACTATAAAATGAACAATTTACTATCTATGAAGGATTTACTAGAATCTGGCAAGATTATCATACATTTCTAATGGAATGTAAAATACCCTTCTCAAGTCTGATTCCTGGAACGAGAAATAGCAGTTTCTATCTTTATTAATCCTTATGTGTTACACCACATTATTACATTATGATTTACTGACATCTAATCTCATCCAAATAGTAATACTGAAAGCTGCTCATAATACTTAAGTTATTTTATTTGGTCTCCTAATGCTGTGATGATTTTTCTCTCTTATCCTAAAATTGTAAATACAAATCATTTCAACCTTTCAACAAGGTAAAATTAACTTAAGTGCTTATCAGAAATAAATCAGTTCAGTCAAAACAATCCAAATGACCTACAAAGTTTGAGTTAAGAAAGATGCTACTTATGTACCTATTGGCAAAAAGGAGAGCTTTATAAGATCATTTCTGAAGTACTGTTACCTTGATACATAAACCTGTTGGTTGCTAGAACCGTGATTCGTTGTAGCCTCTGTATCATTTCTGCTTCAGTGGCACGGACAGGATTGTCTTGACTCATTCTCTGTTGCATCATCACATTGAGTTCTTCGCTTGCGATGGCACGCATTCTCATTAGCAATGTATCCGACAGAGCGAGAGAAAATTTTCTTGATGCTTTAAAAAATGAAAAAGAAATACAAATAAGAGTGCCACTGATAAGCATCTCATGGAGAAGTTTTATGCTTTGTTTTTCCAGTAATTCTTAACCATCTACAGTACAAGGGGTGACTATAATTACACTCCCATTTGGACGGAAACACAGTGTTAGGCATTAGATTTGATTAACACATCATGAACTAGAGGGAAGGGGAAAATAAGAAAGGTTAACTGTGTAATGAATATAAACAAGTCTAATTCACTGGCATATCATCAAGTACTATTTTGATGATACAAATATTCTATATCTAGTTCTACAAAAACATTTCTTCAAAAATGTTTTCTCACAATGTTCTGGTAGACACAGCTACCATTACTGCACCTGTTTCTGTAGGGACTGAACAGAAAGTAGATCCAAGAGGGGACAGGAGAAATGACTCCAAATTTAACAGACTGATGGAAGAACGCATCTGATGTTGACTGTAGGAATGTGACTGTCTTGGCAGATCAGAAACAATGGAATCTTTCACTGAAACTGAACCTTTGTTTCAAACAATGAACAAAATGTATCAGTTTAAACAATAACTAACCTTAAATAGGTAGGTGCATATCTTGCTGCAAAGTCACATTATAAAATGATTCAAGGTTAAGAGATTTAAGCAAAGGGAAGTCTTGAAATGCAAATAGCTGAACTGCATGATGAACAAATATCACTTCATTTCATCAGCTTTAGCAGTGCAAGGTAAAGGATTTAAGCACAGGAATATTAAGATAAGACAAACATACAGAATAGTGTGCTAATTAGATATTTAATCTTTTATATAGGAGATGCTGCCCTAGGGGGTTGAGAAGGGTGGGGTAGAAGTGCTCGAAATAGATAAATAAATAAATAAATAAATAAATAAATAAATAAATAAGATGTTATAGACAGACCTTAGGACCTCTTGTTTCTGCATGCAAAACACATGCTCTACTACTGATCTTTGCAGGCAATGCCTACTAATTGGGTGTGGCAAGGCGGATGATTCAGAAAAAATGTTCTGCATTTGCTCAAAACATTTCTGATTATTGATTCATTGACTGTTCCCTGTAGCTAGTCACTTATTATTCCACTTGCAGTGGATCAATATCCTCTAAACGAAGTAAGCACATCACAGTTTCCAGAACTATTGGTCTCCCAACATTACTAGGTAATCATCATATTGAAAATGTTATGGCCTATCCAGGGGTCAAAGGAACAGTCTGGGGGAAGGGAATTTTAAAAAAGTATACTTGTGAAAGACTAATAAGACTTTGTCCCAGGCTTCAATGGTGACAACAGCTCCATGGGCCACTGGGGGTTGCGGCCTTATTGTTTAACATCTGTTTATTAGAAATACTGTGTTCCAGTTTCTTCAAAATAGCAAAGTAAGTGGAAGTATTATTTATTTATTTACCATATTTATACCCTGCCCTTTTCACCCAAAGGGGACTCAGAGCAGCTTACAATAGGCAGCGATCTGATGCCACACAAAGATACAACCAATGAAATAAACATATATAATAAAACAATTCAATTTAAAAACATCTAAACTCAATATTAAAATCAACTGTTAAAACTATGTAATCCAAAACCATAGTCCAAAGCCATTCCAGATGTCATTGCACTATTCCGTATTTCATTTCCTCTCATCCCTTAAGTGCAAGATGTGTTAAGACCATTGTGATCTGTTATTCTGTTCAAAATGAGGATGGGTTTAGTTTCTAAAACATTAAAATAATATATTGTATGTACATATATCTTGTAAGCCACTCTGGGGTGAGAAAGGTGTAAGCCACCTTTGGGGTGAGAAGGGTGGCATATAAATGGCGTAAATAAATAAATAAATAAATAAAGGCCATGCATTCAATTAGACTTAAATGTGTCTGTCCTATTCATAGATTGTTCAACTTCTGCTCATTTACTGTATTCTCCTGTCATCAGTGAAATAGTTATAACACATTTGGTCTATTTTTGCCCAAAAGAAAACAAGAGTTATGGATGGCTCAGAAGAATACAAAATGATTTCCAATGTAAAGGATAATTCCAAGAGAGTCAATAGAGTAGATTATATAGAATGCTGATTAAACTTGAAAACTAAACAAATATCTGTAAACTGTAGGATTGGGCAACTATGGAGGCTCAGGGGCTCTAGTAAGCCTTCAGGAGACCGTAGAGAGTGCATCCCCTATAAAAAAATAATTTGCCCTTAAATGCCTTCTGGATATGTGTCGGACATACCTGACATGTCTTTAGGTACACATGAGGCAATGTAGACTCACAACAAGCTATTTACTTCCATATCATATCATGGTCCTAAAATAACAAGGGGGAGCAAAACATAGCAAAACTGCCCCCTCAAAACCCAGTCAAAGACATTGGGAAGGAATTTTCTGACCCCTGGAGTGTATGGTAGCCACAAGACGGTCCCTGGAGACTGAATGTGATCTTTGCATCACATTTTGCTCAGGTATGCTCTCTAGAAAAATGAGTTAGGTTTCATTACAAAAGATGGTTAAGGGCTACTCATTTCAGGGAACTGTACCCAACTTCCATTACTCACCAGAAACACTCTTGCGCTTTTGAAATATAGCCTGATGACGTGTAACAGGTACATGAAAGGAATTGCTGAGATCTTCAGACTCTTGATTTCCTGCAGTCTTTATGAACTCAACAGCTGCCTGCAGGACTCTGAACTGCAAAGCAACCGCTATATCTGAAAGCAGAGATCAAATGAACACACGTTTCTTCCAATTATTCCAAAGATTATTCAACCAAAATAAAATTTCTCTCTAACACATCTACATAAAGGCTTACTCTGAGTCCTTTCATTCTGGCTGTTCTGAAGATGTCCAAGTAACACCATGAGATCTTCAATGATCCGAAAATACTGGGAACCCGAGGAGCTGCAGGCATGGATAGTTACTGCTACAAGTAACTGTTGTATATCACACACAAGTAGCCGGTAGTCATCAGAGGGGATGCTGATGAGGAAGTGAAATCAGTTATTGAAATTCCATATTTTAAAGACAGAGTGTGAGATAGTGAGATGTCAAACTATATCTCTTAATTCCATACAGCCATATAATCCAGAATATCAAGGCAGAAAATCCCATAATATCTGCTTTGAACTAGATTATCTGAGTCTACACTGCCATATATTCCAGTTCAATACAGATAATGTGGGATTTTCTGCCTTGATATTCTGGGATATAAGGCTGTGTAGAAGGGCCCTCAGTTCAATTATGTTTGCCAATTCCCAATGTTACAAAATATTATATGTATATGGCAAAAAAGCGGAATCACTCAGAATATTCTACCCACTAAGATAGAAAACAGACATATAACTAATTCAGAAATGGCAATACTTCTATAGAAATGTAGAAATACTTTAAAAAAGAAATGCAATTTGTCTGGATTATTTCTAATAAGGCCACGTAAATTATAGTAGTTCTACACTCAAAAACAGGGTTGATAAAATTCAATGTGTATGTATGTGTGTGTGTGTGTGTGTGTGTGTGTGTATATATATATATAATTTATGGTAGTCATATTTAAATTTTTAAATTGGATTCTTAAAAATTAAAATCAGATTTCAATTTTGTAATAGTTATTTTTAAAAGCCAAGGTCAAATACATAATCATCAATATTAATTATATAATTTTTAATCTGATCCATCATATTCTGCAATTCACATGCCACATCTTGCCCCCACCCCCTTCCTGCTTCTTTAAAGGTCTAGTATCTCTAACTGCAAAGAAGGAAGAATTGAGGAATTTGGAGACCTGGAACAGATATCAACAAACAGGCAAAATATGGATGTAAACAAAATCCCATTTTTGGTAAACTGAAAAATCCATTTGAAAATAGTTTAGAATTGCTTAGTGTATTTTGTTAATGAAACCTACATCTCTCTGAATATGTATTAAGGTTATAATGAACAATACTGTAGATGCTTCTAATAAAACAATGGTTATAATCATGATTAAACAGAATCTCCCAGAGTTAAACTGTAATTTAATTCATTAAAATGAATATTTCAGAGAAATAAATAAAATCAATTCAACCATGTTAAAAACTGGCCTTGTATTATATGAAGGCTGACCAACAGAGGATCTACTTGAGAAAGTCTTCATCAAAACCGTGGCCCATATTTAAAATGCAAAGCTGTCATTGTTCTTTGTGACTCCTCTGTGTGTTGTTCATTCATAGTATCTATTTATTTATTTACTATATTTGTATCCTACCTTTCTCACCCCGGAGGGGACTCAAAGTGGCCTTACAACATGCAGCAATTCAATGCCAAACATACATGTATCAATAGCCCATCTTCCATTTGAAAGGTAGAGAACTAAAGTTCAATTCTAAACAAAACAACATGAAAATACACGACTTACTTAGCTTCTAATCCATTAAGTGCTGCCAAAGTATTACAAAGTGCATACAGCAAGCCATTATCTAGCAGCATGTCTGCCATTTTAGAGCAGGAATTTATTATTTGGAGCAGGAAACAGAAGGAATTGTGCAGCAGGTTGCTATCATACAGGGAATTCTCGATAAGGCCCAGAATAGGTATCACACACCATTTTTGGAAAAGTCCTGCATTTTTTACTTCATCTAGGTTAAATCTATAAAAAAGCAGAAGAAAATTTTGCAATGCAACTTTATATCCACAATCAGCACATGCCTTATTGACATTTCTATCTTAAGAATTTAAAGACAATTGGCATTGATCATAAGATGAAAGCTGGATTTACATACTCATATTATACATATGGATATTTTTCAGCTATAACATGGCATGTGGATAATCTGAATCCTTTCGGGGAAATAGGATGGTATATAAATAAAGCTGTTGTTATTGTTGTTATTATTATTGTATTAAAGTAAACTCTGAACAAGATTGAATAACATTGCATTGTGACACCTTCTGTCATAGAACAACAGTATAATTTGACACATAGCACAGTTTTAAGTACTTAATTTACTAGAGGTAATAACTACAATGTAGATTCTGTTTTGTAGGCCAGAGAAATACACTAGTGTAGGGAATAAAAAACCCAATTGGTCATCCTATTGACAGTGATACCTCCTTCTGCAACTGGTAGCACCATAAAGAAGAAAGCAAAGAACTCTTTGCTAAATATAAAATATATTGGCTATCAACAGAGGGTTTGATGCACTGCACTGATCATGGATGATACTATGAATGATAAAACCTTATTCTTTTAATGCCTTAGAGGCCAAGGTGATCCTCTGAACTCAAATCTGTTCTCTGCCCTGATTTTTCTGATCCTAACATCACATTAGAAACACTAGATGCTCTCTCATCTTTCCATAAGCCTTTGGGGTAACCTTTCTTTTCCTGGGATGGAGAGAGGGGTTTCTAACTAAAAATACACTACCACTCATAATAGTTTCAGCCACTAAAGAACGCAACAAGAAAATGCCAAAGTGCACTATTTTTTTCAGCTGAAAATACATTGATCTATAGCAAGCCTGGACAGCCTGCAGTCGTCCAGGTGTTTTGGACTTCAGCTCCCAGAATTCTTTGCCTCTGGTACAGCTAGCTAGAGATTCTGAGAGTTGGGAGGCCCAAAAACATGGATGACTGCAGGCCTGATCCATAGGACAAATATAAAGCAATAGTTACTCTTCATTAAGGCCAGCTGATCGGCCAAACAACATTTCCATGAAGCATTCCATAAGTTCCTGGGTTCCTCTGTGAAGATACAATTGGTTAGCTAACAAGGAGAAGCCTCGATTCTTCAAGAACTTCTCCTTTTGTTCCCTGGTTGCTCTGTTGAAATATGTGTCCAAGAGCTAAAGGAAGAAAAAAAAAACACAATAATTTCAATATTTTAATTTAGTCTGTTTTTTAAAGATTGTTATTTTATCTCATTTATTTTTGTTAGCAGATCATTGTTAGCAGTACACAATCCAGACATAACACTAATAATGTAGTATTAAAATGCAAACAAACTATACTGTTATTTTTACCATTAATAATATGGAAGCTTGGTGGTTTGCTATTGTCCCTCCATATTTGTAGTTTTGACTTTTGTGGATTTGATTATTTACAGAGCTAATTAAAATGTTCCCTCTAGGAATCTCTATATCCTTCACTGTGACTCTATGGTTAACTTCCTCTAGTAATTCCCTCTAGGAATCTCTGGGTCCTCAAATGCAATTCTACAGTCAGCTTTCGGTGGACATTGACCACAGATCCATGATGGAAGACTCAGTAATTCCCAGAGATGATCTATCAGGTTAAAAGAAATAGCAATTTTGTTATTTAGCATTTTTCACTTTCACAATGTTCCTGTGCCCCTAACCTCAGTAATTGTGGAATAATAACTGTAAATAACTAGTTTCCAATAGACCTCACAACCTCTGAGGATGCCTGCCATAGATGCAGCTGAAATGTCAGGAGAGAATGCTTCTAGAACATGGCAACGCAACCTGAAAAACCTACAACAATCCAGTGATTCTGGCCATGAAAGACTTCGACAATACAATAACTGTAAAACCTTTCTGCGATAGTTAAATGGACTTGTGTTGTGACTGTTAAAACACTATGTTCTCTTTTCCCAGGTAAAAAAGCCAAACAAGAAGGGACGATTCTACTCCTATGGATAGGAGCCCTCTGTACAGCATTCAATTTCAAACAATGGCCAGACAGATGCTTCTGGAGACTTTACATTATTTCCTACTTGTCTAGTAATTCAAGGTAGTTCAAGATGGAGATTCTAATTAATTGTCATGACCATCCATAGTTGGTGGATATGTCTTCTAAAGCTATCTGAATACCATTCCATCTAAATACCATTCCATTTCTTGTGGATGTCAATTCCTTACATTTTCAAAAACAAATCTCCCCTAAGCATATATTTCCCATCTAAGAAACAGAAATAATGCATTTCTAATCTAGCTTCAACAATGGTGTAACATCAGCTGCTTCTAAGTATTCAATAGCATTTACACATTCAGTAGCATGTGAGAAATTGGCCTTTTTCTCTTCTGCACTGATAATATTCCTATAAATTATGGAGATGAAAAGATCATAGGCACCTAAGTTAAAACTTGAGTGACAATTCATGCAACTGTTCATAGTTCTTACCCAGGCTATAATATTCTGCCCTGTTACATCTTATGAGCACACATATATATAGAAAGAGAGACAAGCATACACACACACACAGAGTTGCCTACTTTAATGACTCCTTCTTGTATGAGAGTAGATGGGTGATTCACAAGAACCACAAGAACATCAGGCTGTATAAGTTTGTCCATCACATCTGGAAGCATGACATCTGGCAAGATCAAAAGAACTCTGCGCAAGAGTTGATAAAGACCACAGCATATGAGTACAAGACAATCTTCTGTTGATCTGCCAGGGAGAAAACAGTACATTATTTTCCATTAATATCCACCAAATTTATGGGAGGGGGAGGGCATAAAATCTAGTGAAAAGAATAATATACTTCCAAAAGATAATTTCCCAATTGCATCATTCTACCTTATAGGGGCCATTTCTTTCTTGAGTCTATTAGAGGGAAGTGCATACTTCAAGGTAATAATGCTTAGATGTTTCTGTTAAGTTCAGAGCTACACTATATTTATAACTTTTAAATGGAAACTCCCTACAGTCATTTTTGGAAATGGCTCAAATAGAAAAAATGCCCCTTGGCATTACAACTCCTGCTTTGTAGCAATTGCTGAGGCAAGTGTGAGTGCACATAATATCACAGTAATCAATAAGTCCCTGCAGTATATATTAATGGCCAATTAACAATGTATTCCCTTGTGCAATTGCATACACGGGACACAAAGTGCAGAGAAAATGACAGAATCGATACCCATAAGAAGCATCCAGACAAAAGCCAACAACTAAGATTCAGAAGAGAAAAAGTGCTTGCAAAAACAAATCCTACTTAACCTATAAACTGAGAATCCTAAGGATACAAAAGCACGATGTGAAAATTGTTGTGTCTCGTCTACATACCTATCAGAAGTGATTTCAGATTCTCGAGGAGCCTGCTCCCCAGCTGAAGAAAAGACAAGTTGCTCCCAGTCTTCAGGAGGTAAACTCTTATCCACCAGACTTGGCCAATGAACAATTGTGGATCCACCATGAATGGAAAAGGCCAATCCCAAGCCTGCAAAGTTGCCGTGACTTTTTTGGAAAGGAAAACTTGAAAAGTTCAATATATCAGGACGCCTCAGCGGCGATTCAGAAGCAACACTGTCTTCACTAGATTTTATTTCTGGGCCGACTTCTTGGTTCTCTGAGGTCTTGTCCAACACTTCCAAGTCTATCTTTGAAATATCACACCTTTCAGCAGACGTTGCCACTTCCAGATCTACAACTGTTTTTGCAGACTCACAACTACTGATTAAATGCTCCTCCTGGATCCTTTTAAAGGCCTCTAAATTCTTTACAAAGTGTTTCTTCTGCAGCAAGTCATTTTCACTTATTGCAAACAGGTTGTCAACACTCCTCATGGTATTCCCGCAAGTTTCTTTTTGATGCAATTGAGGAGAGGAAGTAGGGGATGCTGGTAGGCTTTTACAAAGCCGTTCAGGTGTTTCGGAAGAATAATGTCCTATGAAAACATGCATGAAAAGTGCTTTTCTCATTTCTGAAACGTAATCAATTAAAAATAGCTATTATGAAACAAAACATATCCACTTTTATTGTTTCCACACCAGATCTGTAAATTACCTTCAGAGAAAATCTAAGAGCATTTTAACTTTTATTTGAAAAACAGATGGCCCTCCATACCCATGGATTCGGTTTCCACGGTTTCCTCCATCCACAGCCTGAATGTCTAAGATGTCTAAAAAACAAACCTTGATTTAACCATTTCACATAATGAATATCATTTTACTTGAGTGGATTTTGGCATCCATAGAGGCCCTGGAACCAAACTCAGCAGGTACCAAGGACCTACTGTGTGGAGATTTGGAAAAAGCTCAAGTTTAGCTTAGAACACATCAGAGGTCACCCACTTCAACTTTCGATTCAAACGTTCAACTCTTCATACTTATCACTGTATTTTAAAAGTATTTTTTCATTGTTTGTGTCAGAACTGGATAAAATACAGAGGCACAGCAGTCTCTTAAAAAGTGATTAAGTATGTCAAATTTCAGGCAAACAGACACACAGAGAGATCAGAATAGTTCTTTTGCAGTCTGAGACATGCTTCTCTCCCTAGTCTTTTTTTGTGAGTAGTTGTTAAGACAAGTGACATTTGCAAAACATACAGGCTCTTAGGACTTTATCACAAAAGGTTGCTAAACTGCAATTACAGTAGAATAATAAAGTCTGTAAAAGGTAAAGGTTGTCCGCTGACATTAAGTCCAGTCATGTCTGACTCTGGGGTGTGGTGCTCATCTCCATTTCTAAGCCGAAGAGCCAGCGTTGTCCATAGACACCTCCAAGGTCATGTGGCCAGCATGACCGCATGGAGCGCCGTTACCTTCCCACCGGAGCGGTACCTATTGATCTACTCACATTTGCATGTTTTCGAACTGCTAGGTTGTAATTAGTACTTATTACATGACATTGTGCCTCACCTGTAGCTACTGGGGAAGGCCTTCTCTCTGTCCCACCATTTACACAAGCATGTTTGGTGGGAAAGTTGGAATGTTGCCAGCAGGTACTAGGAAAAGGATAAGGGACACACTGCTGGGGAGGTTGTGGGTGAGTTTTTGGGGGGATTCTGTGTTTTAAAATGCATTTTAATTTAATTTATTATGTTTTAATTGTATTTTTAACCAAATACACACTACTATTGAGTTGTTTTTTAATTCCTGAATTTTCTTTGTTTTAAATTGATCAAAGTGTGTGATTGTTAGTCTTGAGTCCCCTCGAGGAGAAAGTTGAGCTATAAATAGTAGGTCAATAAACAGATACTTTGCATTTAAATTATTGATAGAATGGAGTTTTATATTGATGGGGGGAAACACCAATGGCTCCCAATATTGCTGATTAAGTGGCCATGATTATCCTGCTCTTCCCCTTCTTCCCCCTTGCTATTCCTAATCAGGATGAGATTGGTTTTACATTTGGAAAAGTAAACCTGGGGCAAGGGAGAGGGAAGTTTATCAAGAATAGCTCAGATTTCAACCCAGGAAACACCCCATTCCTTAATCCAATGCCCCTCATTTTGGGCTGATCGCTCCATACTCCAACTCTTTTCATATCACCAGCTGAGTTGTCTCCTACAACAGAGTGAGGGGTACTCAAATAGAGAAAAAAAGAAAGGGAGTTGTCATCTGCTTCAGTTCGCAGTTGCTTTTGAAAAACAGGAAGGTAAATAGCTACTCTTCCAAAACAACAACTATACTATAAACGATTGTTTGCATTTTGTAACTGTAACTACCACACATTGTTAAAAATACTAAACTCTAGTAATCCTACTTCCTTTCAATTGCTAACATTTCACCCTGATATTAAGAAAATAGAACACACTGCCTATGTTTCCTTCTTACAAATCCCAATTAATGATGTTTTTCAGCAATATACAGATTCTAAGGAGTCCCACTATCTCCTAAACCTGTTCAGCCAAATTCACATGAAGCCAAAGCACACTTTAGTAAAAAGGTGCTTGAATGAGAAAAGTATATTGAAGGGTTAAGAGGTTGCAGTTCTATTTTAAGTAAATAAAATATAGCTAGCTTCTGGATCAATAGTAATATACATCAGAGTTGCAGAAATTGGCCTTTCAGCTGCTGGAAAGCATCCTTTAATATTTCCTGCTGCACTATAATTTATTTAGACTAAATGTAGATTGCTAGTTTATCAATGTAATGTTCATACAAGTAGAGCATTTCATAACGTGTCTCCAAGAAGAAAAGATGCCACACATATCTTCTTAATCCATTAGGTAATTAACATCAGAGACAGCAATATCCGAATTTAGAAGCATTAAAGAAAAATGATCCCAGGGCAGTGTTGATCACAGGAATTGTTATCTGGGCCATTTAAAATGTAATTAAAATTTCATCAGGATACAAGAAATGGAAATGGAAAATCTTATCCAAAGTTTTCTAAATCATATCTATTAGTTTGCTGCTCCTTCAGAAAGGGGGGGGGGGTATTATATGGGCTAAAATTAGTCCAGATGCATTCCACAATGCCTGCCACAGTCTTAAGAGGTGAATCACACGTCATCTGCAGGATGGAGGAAATTCCAAGGTGCACTCTATTTCACCCAACTTTCCTAAGATGAACCCGGAACAGCATATCTGGCAACAAAACATCACATACCAGACTCAAGCTGCTTTATTTCTACATTCAAGTCCATATTTTAAGTTCAACTTCTTCAGTTTGGAAAGCTGTCCATATACTTCTGAAGCTTCTGAATAATTCACACTTATAACTCACCTTCTTGATGGGCAGAAGAAAATCCAGTTTGACTTGTAATTATCAAGCCTGGGCTGTCAATAGATTTTCCACCACTGCTAGAATTTCTCAGATACATGATTGACTGAACCTTCTCTTGAAAAATTTTACCATCTTGGGAAAAAAATAAATATGGTAAGACAAGTCCCAAAATATTTTACACTTAGCACCAAAAAAAAAAAACATATTAAAAGAAGACTGTGAATTATGTGTCTGAACCACCAGAGTCTCTTTGAATAAATCTATTAATGGTTATTGTTACAATGGCTACCCTGATTCTTACCAGTACAGTAGTTACCTTTCTCTTTTAGATAGTCATCCTATGAACCTTCACTCATAAGTAAAGTCAGCCCTAAATATGCATTTGGCACAGAACATTATGAAAGTTAAAAAAATGCCGGATGTAAGCCACCCTGATTCTTCCCCCCCCCCCCCGTTAAGAAGGATGGGGTACAAATGTTTGAAATAATAAATAAATAAATAAATAAATAAAACCAAATGAATAAATGCATTTCTATTTTTAATCTGGGAAAACACAGTGATAGAAATTTCTAGGTCTTCCACCATGATTTGATTGTTGACTTCTGCTGGATGGTAGCCACAGAACTGAACTGGAAAACTTAGAGATTCCTAGAGAGGTGTCCTCTCTAGAAATCTCTAGGTCCTCCAGCATGGCCAGAGGAAACTGACTATACAGTCATGCTGGAGGTCCTAGAGATTCCTTGAGAGACCAAATCCATGAATAATCAAATCTGCAAGTCAAAACCACAAGTGTGGAGGTGACACTCGTTATCTTATATATACATCCATAGGCTTGATTCCAATTAATTAGTTTCATTTACCATACTCACTGAATCAACTGCTAAATGAATGATGATGAGCAAACATATAAATAAATCCCACTGATTTAGTAGGCCTCTTATAAATAAGACTAACAATAGAATTTGTTTATTTTCAATGAAGCATTTATTTATACAGTAAAGGGATTTAGGCTAAATCCTATCTGCACAAGAAAAAAATCCAGTCAATTCACTGGGACTTAATTATAAGAAGTCCCTAGTTACTTGGAACTGGAGAAAAGTCACATCAACAAAACAAATAAGCATCCCCAATGAGCAGTCCTTAATGAATACAGGCCTGATGAAAATGAAGTCCTGTCTGGCCCTCAAGCATTTTGTCCATTAATTGCAAAAGCAAAAACAACATTCTAATTGGAGAATGTAATCTCTATACAAAATTGAATGAAGAAACTTCAGAAGTCTGTTGCATGCCTTATAGTTCACATAAAATAAGGTAAAAATGAAGGAATAATTTAGACATATGGAAGTTGCCAAACAAAGGTACTAATATAGGAGTTAATGTACCACTTTCCAATGACAACCCATGTGAGTATAAGGATTAGGAAGTGTGCCCTCACAGTGACAATTACCAAGAAATTGTAGAATTTTCACAGCATTACTCCACAAGAGATCTAGGATCATTCTTGCTGGGTAATTTTACCATGAACAAGCTAAATGAGCGATAAATACCTTAGAAGAATGTATTTCTTGTGAAAGCCTTTGCTTACTTTGAAATATCCTACTGCAGCTACACATGTTCCTATGACATTACATAGCAATGTGCAACTTTACATACACTGGATACGGTTTTTTTTAACTGTTTCTAGCTATAAATACTGAACACTAAAAAACACACTCAACGTTAGTTACCAATTTGAAATGTTCTCTTGAGGATCTATGTTACTTACCTATGTGCAGGGAAAAATAAAAATCTCTAGGATTATGACAAACGTATGTATTAGTAGCAGGGTGAACTGCTACGAGAAAATTGAAGATCAGCGTCAGTAATTCCAGATCTGGTGGAGATCCAAGCACTTCTTCAATTATTTTTACAAATGATGTGCAAACCTCTGTAGGCATAGATGTGAGATACTCCTCTTTATGCTCCTAGCAAAGAAATATAGAGGGGTGTAACTGAGAAACATTCCTGTAAAGTTTATAATCCCCTTCTGTGTTCAAGGTTATAGACAGGAAAATAAAGTCCTACACCTAATGAAAATCTATTCCTTCACTTTATAGGGTACTCATATTTCTGAAATAGCTATGTATATCAAACAGGAAAAGTTAATATAATATCTAATAATTATTTGTAGTTTATTACCTCTAACTTTTTCTGGAAAAAATATGAAAAATTGACTTCTTTCAAGCTAGAAGATTGGACAATGACTTTGCCCCTTTAAAATCTCACAGTTTTTTTCCTTAGCGGTTAGACTGGAATTCAAAACATAATCAGTTATGCTTTACTTATTACCAGGAACTAACAATACCACCTGGGTAGTACTGAAATAATAATGGTTTGCAGAACTGCACAGCAACAGCTCGAAACATTGTTGCAGGAACTATTTTCACAAACTAATTTTAACCTAACTTTGAAGCACATCAATAATCTCAGATATAGTATGATCCAGTAAGGCCTAAGGGACAAGAAAAGTTAAAGCACTATAAAGATAATTTTAATCAAAACATTTCACTGTGAAGAGCATTATGAATACAGGCCTATGATGAAAAAATCTTTTCAGCATTGTTTCTGTCCTAATATATTTTTGCTGCTGAATTTTAAAAATAGAATTAAAATGTTATAATACAGACAGTTATTTCACAAATTCAGTGTTTTATATTAATTTTGTTGATACTCAGTTTTATTTAAGTGTGGGCACTGATGTTTCAATGTGATTGCTTTTAGTGCTTTTGAAAATATTTTTTCACATTAGTGAATTAAAGTGTTTTGAAAAGCTGTTAGAAGATTGACTGTTTATCCTTAATTCCCGAAAGAAATTTCCCTCAGTCATATATTACAAAATAAAAGTTTCAAAGCAAGTTGTAAAAAAAAAAACCTTACATGATAAAGCAAAATATAAACTACTTTTTTAAAAAGTAATTTTTATTAAATTTTCAGGGGGAAAGAAAAAAGAAAAAAAGGAGGGGGGAGGGGAGATAATAGGGGGTAGGAAAGCTTAACGGGTAGGAAGCTAACTATGGAAACTACTTTATATATTTTTAGAAAGAATGGAAAAATAAGAAACTGATACATTATGTATGTACTTTCTTCTATAATGCATACATAAATATATTCAAAACTTAAACATATGGCATAGTACCTGTAGAACCTGGCATGTCCTCAGGAAATGAGGGACAACTCGTGCTTTGAGAAGTTGCTTAATGTTAAACATCTGCTGCCAATGGGTATCTCGAATAAGTACTTCTAGACTGGATAACAGCATTTCCCAGACACCTTGCTGCAAAACAAAAACAACAGTCCTAGCACACAAAAAGTGTAACAAAGTAAAAAAAGAAATTGTAATAAAAACTGTTGAAAATACTGGTAGGATGAAGAAGTAATTGGTAGCACAATTCAAATACTCAAAAATATTTCATTTTCATTCTTAGGTCAGGGAAAGTGCACCGCAATCACATAAGCATGCATCACTCACATTTTACATATAGGCACCAGCAAGGTTGTAATCTAAAGTAATATTCACATTGTTTCAACATTTCAACAGTCTAAAATAAATGTAGATGTGAAAATTACCAAAAATTGTAAATTTGTATTCAGTGTAGTTCAGGTCTCTTTAGTAACCAAACGAAATTACTAATTGTTACGTATTATTAAAGTTATTATGCAAATATGTGGCTTTTCTCTTTTTTTCCCTTTACTTGCACTTGAAATAATGCATATAAAATCCTGCCTCTGTTCTATTCACATGCAAATATTAAGTACTGTTCTCCTCTTATATTTCTTTAAGCCTTTACTTGATTTTACCTATTACTGGGATAATAAAGAAAACATTTGCAAAGCCAACACTATTTTAATGAAAATCAGTGAAGTTTTTCTACTGACACAATTGCTGTACTGCCTAGTTAAATATGGAGAAATGTGATCACCAGATAACAAACTGGCTGCAGCAACTAGAACAGAATGACGATGTTTTTCCAGGAGGAAGAAATAAGAGAGAATGAGTTAAAGAATGAATGAATTTTATGCTTTTAAAAATCTACTTTTGTTTCTGTTTTACAGTTATGAACAGGTTCCTGACTGCAAAGAGCCAACTCTTCCTTGTTTTGACTACTGCTAATGAGCAATGACAAAGACTTCACAGACTCTTGTGCATATAGCTTACTACTGCTATTTAAGTGAGGAGCAATGTGCCATTCTTGTGTTAGTCCACTGTGGATTGGTGTACTCCTGTAAATAGGAAACCCCAAAAGCAAAAGCTTCTCTATGCACAGTCTTAGAAGCATTGCACCTCAAATCTCTAAGATTACAGGTACACAGAGACCAAGTTAAAGAAAGAAATGAAGAAATAGCTCCTTAAGAAAAAAATGGGATGGCTGCTACCTAAAGATAATTTATTTCTTCAATCTTCTAATCAAATCTTAATTGTTATTTTAGTATAAAACAAGTTCTAATAAAAATCATCAATTTAAATTATTGTTTTGAGAGCTAACATAAGAGTGTAAAAGACAAGGGGAATAACTGATAAACTTCTGAATTTCTAATTCTTCGTTACAAAAGCCATTTTAAATTGGAAGCCAGTTGAAATTTCCGAGATTGAATAAAAAGATATTTAATAGCTAGCAACATTAATATTTTAACTTTGATTTAGTTGGAGACCAGTCATTTTATAATCTGTTCAAATCACCTGGGATTTTGACCATATCTTCCAATCAAGTAACAGCTCTTCCAACAATTGAACATCTTGGATTACTGCTTTAGTTTCTACGTCAAGGATGAATTGCCCATTCTCATCCATATGAATCATCTTCTCACTGCAGCAACCTGCAAGGAGAGTCTTTCAAAGAGTAACAAAAGGGAATTCAGTGATCAAAATAAGAACTCTGCTTCTCACATCCTACACATGCCCAACACTACATTAACATTAAAACCTAAGCTCAAGATGGGCAATCTCCTACATGCCAGCATGCTTAGGCAAGGTTGGAAACATCCACAACAAGTACATTGAAGACATAATCCTGAAGCATAAAGGAACTATTTGATTAGATAGACCATTGTGGTCCAGAACAAACAAGAAAAACAATACTCTGCACATTACTATTTTTAGTAGGACTTGTACTGCACACTTGAAATAATTTTATTTAATATTTAACATTTTCCTTAATTTAGGTATTTTCTAAGGGAAATATTTACATAATAACCCTTAAATACACTTGCATTCAAGAAGGCTGGTGCCTAAGCATATATGAATAGACCTGCAACTAAATTCATACAAATTCTAATTAGAGCAACAGTTCCCACATCTAGAGAACACTGGGGAACATCATCTCCCAGAGATCTTGACACTGGCCATACTGGCTGGATTCTGTGGGAGGTGGTATCCAACAACTGGGGACACAGGTTTTGGAGCCACAAATTGGGGGCCCTTCCAGGATCTGATCCCAGGTTTTCTGTTTATCCCAGATTATCTGGAAGTGTGGACTTATGTTATTCAATTTTAAGTAGAAAACATAGGATCAGCTCCTGGGATATAGGGGCTGTCTGGAAGGGCCCTTAGAGGGATAAAGGGGTAGAATTCAACCCCATTGTAAAACAAGCACACTTAATGTTACATGAAGAAAGAGAGTTTGAGATTGAAATATAACAACTACTTTTAAAATCTGATCTAAAAGACAGGAGATAAGGACAAAACCAATTTAAGCTTACGTGTTACAACAAGATCAGTACAGTGTGAGAATCCCTAATAGGTTAAAAGTGTTTATGTATGAGCTGGTTCAATAAGATATGCAGCATTTTCATTTTCTTAAAACATTATTCTCTGCTCTATGCAAAAAAAAAAAAAGACATTATTACAGATACTAAAAGCCACTTGAACCCCCTTGGCAAAATCAGCTAGTAAAAAGAGGAAAATTCAGCAGACTGTCTTACCTGCAATATATGAAAGCCAACAATGCAATTGGGCTTCATCAACACCTGATGAATCATTGAATATCCATTGCAGTTTTCCAGCTCATTAATTCTTTGTTGATTATGTTTTGTTAAGGCAAGGATAACTTTTAAAGCCAATGCTTGTGTTTCTTCACAGCTGCTGATCTCTGCAACCTAAATGTAAGCCAATATATATTTGATGTAATAAAATATGGTTTACAGAGTGATGTGTTTTTCTTTGCTCGGCTTTCTCTTACACTGGATCTACACTGCCCTATAATGCAGTTTCAGAATTCAAATTAACTGCATTGAACTAAATTATGTGAGTCTAAACTGCTATATAATCCAGTTCAACATGGTTAATATACAATCTGAAACGGTATATATGGCAGTGTAGATCCGATCTTAGTCACTGGAAACCACATGGACCTATTTGATCTACAAGTACCTATGGTGCACTTGATTATCTTTACTGGTGATCCATCTGTATCATATTGCTTGATTTGTAAGGGAGGAGCATATCCCTATACCTATCAAAAGATGTTTCAGAACTATTCCACAACAAAACTATTCTTCCTGTCATAAGTACTGTGGAAATGAAAGAAGCTTGAAGTGGGGCGACTAGGAGTTTCATTCATAATAGCTACTCAAGTTAATTGGACTTTCCCCCACTACTTACAGTTCTTGTTACTCCCAGTAGGGTGACTGGATCATAACATAACAAACAACACAATACTTCCAATAGTATGGAAAGTCTATTTCAATGATCAGCAATTAATAGTTTGCACCAATCACAACAACAACAACAACAACAACAACAACTTTATTCTTGTATCCTGCCACTATCTCCCTGAAGGGACTCGGGGTGGCTTACACAAGACACAAAGTGCCTAAAACAAGACATGACACAAAACACAATATAAAATACAACTGAATAAAACACATAAGCATGTAACAACAAGATAACACTCAGACTAAAACAATGCATATCCATCAATGGCAATAGCTAATGTAAACATGGCCAAACTGTAAACAATAGGGCCAGAGAAAGGGAGAAGTACAGAGCTGTAACTATGGGATGAGGGCATGGGATAAAATGCAAGGCTGCATAACAAGTCATTCTTCAAAGCTTGTTTGAATAGCCAGGTCTTCAGGTCCCTACAGTCCCATTAGTAATACAAAGAGCTGTCTTTCTAGAAGGAGTATGCAAACTTATTGATCTTTCCTCTATTTTAATGGCTCACTACATCTTAGCAACAAAAAGCCCTGAAAAACTGCCATAACAAATGTGCTAATACACAAAGCAATTTTCTCAACAACTTACCCGGGCAAAAAGGAAGACAAATGACCCTGTTCCACCAATCTCATGCAGTACGCCCTGAAGACCTTTGTATTCAGCAGGCTGTAGCATTTTCAGGTAATGAGGATCTGGTAAATTGCCTTGTACTTCTTTTGAACTGAAAGGTCGTTGGGAAGGAATAGTTTTTCCTTGGCCTTTTAGTCGGATTACTGGTTCATAGATTGTGTAGTGGCCTGGGCAGCAAGTACTATAAACAATAGCAAGGCTTTCCTAGAATATAAAGGGCCATATAATAAGCTAATATTTTATAATTTATCCACATATTCCTATTAAACATCTATTGTGCTGAACAACAGTCATCTTTATATATGCACTAATATTTCTCAATGTTGGCTAAATATGTGCTGGAATAATTCATAACAATATTAAGATATCAGATCAAAGTGGATATGCCCTTCAGGAAAATCTCTGCCTTAGGAAGAAGCAGAAGCTCCTCAGAGGAAAAAAAATAATCTGAATAATTTGGGAGAAGGAGATTTTGAAAGGGGTCATATTCATTGCATGCACACATTGTTGCATCCTCCATTGTCATTTATTCCATTTGTAGATATCAAAATATTTTTCATTTGCACTCTCAGCTGGTCCAAAATACGAGTAAAAACTGCAATGTACAGCACATCAAATACACAAGGTTGCAAGAGATGTCCTAAACATATATATTATTCCTAGTATGCTGTTAGTAGTGACAATACAACTAAAATAACTTCTTAAAAATGAGGTAGGCTAGATACCAAATAATTAGGAAAGCAAGGCACAGCACAGATCTCACTTGCTGTTTCACACTGTCATCCACCCAACATAATCCACAGCATCAAAGCTGTATACAGTCTCTAACTTTGAGCCTTCAGCTTAACTGAAACTCTTGATATTTTTACCTAACCTGAGACCCTGAAACAAAATGTAGTATCTACATCTAAAGACTAAAAATAAACATTATGGTTTGAAATACAAATATTTATCATGTTTATTCAGAATTAATGGAGCAATTTAGCTTGAGGCAATTACATAATTTTGCATTCATTAAAACATGAAAGGGGTACTTCTTCACCACAATGCAATTAAAGCATTGCAACAAACGCGGGCTCTACTGATATCCATTTAGGCATATTAATTGCTCCAATAAATATAGATAAAGGTAAAGGTTTCCCCTTGACGTTAAGTCTAATCAAGTCTGACTCTGGGAGGGAGGAGTGCTCATCTCCATTTCTAAGCCAAAGAGCCAACGTTGTCCCATAGACGCCACCTAAGTCATGTGGCTGGCATGACTGCATGGAGCACTGTTACCTTCCTGCCAAAGCAGTACCTATTGATCTACTAACATTTGCATGTTTTCGAACAGCTAGGTTGGCAGAAGCTGAGGCTAGCAACGGGAGCTCACCCCATCCCGCAGATTTGAACCGCTGCCCTTTTTGTCAGCAAGTTCTGCAGCTTAAGAGGTTTAACCCACTGCACCACCGTGACCCCCAATAAATACAATAGCACTGAAGGCAAAGTCTTAGGAAATGTCCTAGCAATGTCAAGGTAAGTGAAATTCCATTAGCTGATAAATAAATAAACATTAAGATCATATTCTTGATACTGCACCGATGAACTGTGCTTATTTTCTTAAACTACAAAATAAGGACAGAAAAAATGATCAACAAGCCTTGTATTTTCAACTTTTTAGTACAATATAACTAAATCAAGCAACAAAGCTAAATTATCTATTATTTACTTTATTTTTATCACACTTTTCTCATACTATAGAGACTCACAGTGACTGGGTTCCTATAGCAGGAGATTCCATCAAGTACTGTCAACAAGCTACCTTTTGACAGTTGCTCTTTCTAGTCTAATTCACCCATTATTTCTTCATTTAAATGTTGATGTCCTGCCTTTTCACAAGTTGTCTTTCTTATTGCTGAGCCACTTAGAAAATAAAACCATTGACTAAAAAATATTTAGCACTGAAGTTACAACTTACAATTAAAGGTCCAATGTCCACTTCTCTCTTTGTCATTATGAGCTCTTTTATCTGTTCACATTGCAGAATTTCTTTATCTACATATCTAGAATAATCAGTTGTCGATTTGCCATATTTACAAGGCATTAATGAAGTGAAGTCTGGCCCAGAAGCATACAGATAAAATGCTTCTTCTGGGCCTATTTTTGCACCTATAAAAACAAAAAACTATGTAACAATATATGTTGCTTTATATACAAGAAATAGTAATATTACAGGTGTTATAGCTCATATTTCTGGATTTGCTCTGCTTTGTTATTACAAGGTTAAATTTCATATCACCTTGCAGACATCAATAGGAGCAGAGACACCATGCATGAAACCTACAGAAAATATCCACACATACAGTGCTCAAAACATTAAGTACCATAAACCTGGTTTCACCTACCCACATCTGACAAAACATGCCATCTCTAAGTACCTTCTCCAGGCAATTCTATACTATGTTTCTCCTGGAATTTACCAAGAGTTACCCTGGATGACCTAGCAAATTCCTAGAAAGGCTACCTCTCTAGGAATTTGGTAGATCTTCCAAGTAACTTTTGGTGGAAGTTGTTCATTTCAATAGATAATGCTATTATCCACAAGTTCCTATTTCCATTCTAAGTTCAGGAACAGATCCCCTATGGACATAAAAATCATACTGTATCTTCAAGATCACAGGATCTGGCTGAAATCCAAAAGCCACTGCTTAATAGAACTCCCTCCTGCATCCATGGAAGTAGATCTGAATGTGCAATCTAACCTAAAATACTGTCGTATTGATATGTGACAGAGGACCTCCTCAGACAACATGTGAAAAAGTCACTGATATATTTGAAGTCTGCTTAATATGGTACAAGTGCAAACTTCAAAATGCTTTTTAAAAGTTAAGATTTAAAGACTGCCCCTCTACTTTGCAGTGCTAAAAAATTCTCAAAGAAGAAGATAGAAACCAACATTGCAGAAGGAAATAATGTATTTTCCATGTAGTGCCACAATGTCTCAGGGAGTTCAGTGGCTTTACCTTTGTTGTGGAACCTTCCTTGCTATATATATATTTATTTAGTCTTTCTGTTTCTGGAGAAAGAATTGATTGTTTGCTCTAAAAGGCTGTTGACTCAGTGCTATAATTGAATAGAACTATTGTTTTTAAAAAAATAACTTCATTAATTTTTGTAATCTTAAGCACCATTATTGTCTCAAACGCTGCATCGTTGAGGCATTCCTAAAAGTTAAAATGCATTCGGCTCTTATTGAAACACCACTCTTCTATGATTTTTACAGATCTTTTACTTAACCAAACACATTTGTTAGTAGTTAGAGAATTAGATGTACAACAGCTTCCTACTTTTTTTGAAATGCTACAGTTCTCAAAGGAAAGCGAAGACACAAACCACACAAAGCCTCATAGAATCATAGAAGTGGAAGAGACCTTGTGGACCATCCAGTACAACCCCTGGCAAGAAGCAGAAAAATCGCATTCAGAGCACCCACTACAAATGGTGGCTATTCAGCCTCTGTTTAAAAGCCTCCAAAGAAGGAGCCTCAACCACTCTCTGGGGCAGAGAGTTCCACTGCTGAACAGCTCTCACAGTTAAGAAGTTCTTCCTCATGTTCAAGTGGAATCTCCTTTCTTGTAGTTTGAAGCCATTGTTCTGTGTCCTAGTCTCAAGGGCAGCAGAAAACAAGTTTGCTCCCTCCTCCCTATGACTTCCCCTCACATATTTATGCATGGTCCTCATCATGTCTCCTCTCTGCCTTCTCTTCTTCATGTTAAACATGCCCAGCTCTTTAAGATGCTCCTCATAGGGCTTGTTCTTCAGACTCTTGATCATTTTAGTTGTCCTCCCCTGGATACATTCCAGCTTGTCAACATCTCCCTTCAATTGCAGTGCCCAGAATTCGAAACAGTATTTCAGGTGTGGTCTGACCAAGGCAGAATAGAGGGCAGCACGACTTCCCTGGATCTAGACACTATACTCTATTTATGCTGGTCAAAATCCCAGAGGCTTTTCTTGCCTCCCTCTTGCACACATGCCAAAAGTTCAGCACAAGATGATCAGCTATAGATAAAGGGAGAGGAATACAACATACCATTGAAGAGCAGGAAATTTCCCAAATCCCATCTCCCTGACAATTGTAAAAATTCATCTTGGGATGCTGCATAATGGCCAGTCATACAGAACGTCTTGTTACTGTCAGATGATAAACTTGTTTTCCTTGGAAGTGTATAATCTAAACTTATTTCTGGTTTTCTAAAACAAAAAACATGAAAGTTCAAAAATGCATGCTGAATAGTTTTTAAAAGTGGATAAGAATTTTACAAAAGATACTTCTGTTTCTTATAATTCAGAATGAACAGATACACAAAGATTATATCAGTATAGAATTAATATGGTCTACAATTAGCATCATACTTTAGTACCATAACAAATTTACTAAGTTTTCTCAGTACATTATGTTCTTTCCCTGTTTCTAATGAGGTGCCAGCATGAAACATCTGATGCCCCAATAGAAGAAATATAATAACTTGGCGTACATGAAGTGTTAATCTACCCCAGCCATCATCCTTACATCTTCCCAGTCATCACACTGCAGCTTAGAGTAGAAATCCCACTTCCCTATATACTGCCTTTACACTGACTGTTTGTCGTGCTATTCTTAACATGTGATAGTCAAGCAGTTTGACATAATGCTTTTTAATTCTATGAGTATGTTATCATATTTACTGGTTGGGAAAATTACCTCTGACCAGAAATCCATAGTGACAACGTTCCATGGATGTTTTTCTTGCTTTCTGGCTGTTGCAAGTATGTCAATGCCAAATGCTGCCATTTGCCTATGAGAAATGTATTTTCTGGTGTTTCAACTTGTGCCAGCAAGCCAGCTTTCATTTCATCATTTGGATCCATACACATACTGTGATAGCAGTAAAGAGGAAGCTGCGGTTAGGCTAGTCCAACATCCTTCTAATAATTCTACTTTTGCATTATTTTTGTATCACATATGCTCTGAAACAAACACAAAATTCATGCGAAGACCTTGGAAACTTAGGAACTTTACAGTCTAGAAATGTCTACATTTATAAAGCTGCATTTCTCAAAATACTGCACTGATGGTCACCAAATCTGTGAAATTAATAAAGATTAACAGACCAAAAATTAACCCACCCTCTTACTATTCTTTCTTCTATAACAATGTCCTATTTTGTGCATGTATTTTTCTTATTAAAAAAGGTTTAGTTATGCAAGACTGTGGCCTTCTCTGCAATTCAGCTGGTTTGGTGTAAGAAATTACAAGCATGAACAAACTACACATGTGGCTACCTAGAAACAAGAGTGTCAGTAAGATTTTGCTGTTGCTGTTTTTTCACAAATCCCCATAACTCTCATACAAAAAGAATCTTGCATGTACTTCTGCTACATGGCAAGAACTGCACAGAAATATCAATTTTCTCTGCAGAGTGGAGAAAACCATGCCAATTTTTGGCCTTGGTTTTGCTTGAGAGAATGAAGAAGTTGAAAAATAACATCCCCAACACAACCTCTATCCTGTATTCAAGCTGGCTACCACATTTTCATATCAAGACTAGCAACTTCTCAACCACTTCGTGTACCTTCTATGGTTGTTCAAAACTCTCTATAGTCCATTTCCCTTTTGATCCCAGTCTATTTTTCCATATAGTTTATTGTGACTATTCATCCTATTTACAAGAAATAATTGAAGACACCTTACATCTTTTTCATTCCAATTTAAGTGACACCAGTAATAAATCATGAACTCACATGAGAAGAGGGATACATGAAGCTTCTTTAGACCAGTGTTTCTTTAACTGTGCTCCTCCAGGTGTTTTGGATTTCAGCTCACAGAAATCCCAGCCATTTTACCAGCAGTTAGGAATTATGGGAGCTGAAGTCCAAACCACATGGAGGAACACAGTTTGAGAAACCCTGCACTAGACTAAAGGCAATGCTTTCCTATATATCAGTCACCTGAAAATAATAAGGATCAGTGCAGCAATTTCTGACTTTTGTGGATATTCTGAAGCAATTGCTGTAACAACATGGATACATTTTAATGCCAATTAAAATGTAATAAACTAGTATTTCAGTTACAGGATATTGCATTAGTTGAATTAGGAGTAGAACAAGCATTATATTTAACACACAAATAAAGGCTGCCATTTAAAGGCAGCCTTTATTTGTGAAAGACCTACTTCAAGAAGTAGATCTTTCATACTGCACAAATCTTCCTTTAAAAGCTTCTGACAAAAACATCTGCTAGCAATATGCTACTAATTATAACTGATTCAATGAAAGTGATAATTTCATATTTCACATCCTCTGAAATTGTAATAGCAGCAAGTCTGACTAAATTGAACACATACAGAGGAAGGTAATGTCCTTCTTAGCTGACACTACAGCAAATCCCACAGAACAAAAGAAGAAATATATAATCTTATTAAAGGCATTATTCTGTTTGTTAAAAAAGAGTGTGGTACCGAAATATGAAGGCTCCAGTGTTCACATTTGCCCACACTTGAATCATCAAAGTTTTCGACCCCAATGAGAATATATGAAGGCAGCCATCTTCCAAAAGTTTGTCTCCCAAATTAAGGTAATCAACTCCAGTTTTACTTTCTTCTAGAACACAGAGTATTTGTTAAATCATGGGCACAGTTAAAAATGATGACAAGTATATCAGTCTTGCATTCCATTAAGTTTAATAATGTAGCTAGCACTCCAGAACATAAGAAACTGTAACCCAAGATTGGCATGAAACATAGACTGTGAAAATGATATAACCAGGACTACTTTTATACACTAACAAATAAATTACAGTATAGGGGCTCCGATTGTGAAGGTCCTCAGTGATGCTATTGTTTTTTTGTTAAGTGAGAATTGAATCTGGGGTAGTTATGCTAAAGAGCGTCTTAAACCTGACATAAATTGGGACCTCATCAGATCTCAATCCAGTCCTAGTAACACATATGGATTTCTACCCACATGATTTTTTTATTTTATCAGGGTACAGAGAGGAAAGATAACCTAAAATAAGTGAGTTTTACTAAAAACTGCTTGTAAACTCTTAACATTTTAGCTAAGGCCCTTTTACACTGCCATATAAAATCCAGATTATCTGCTTTGAACTGAACTATATGGCAGTATAGACTCAGATAAACCAGTTCAAAGCAGATAATGTGGATTTGATAATATGGATTATATGGCAGTGTAGAAGGGCCCTAAGAGTCATGTTTGATGCACTCAACAAACTAGGGGCTATTCCACATAGCTATATAACCTAGAATTTCAAGGCAGAAAATCCCACAATATCTGGTTTGAACTCGGTTATCTGAGTCTACACTGCCATATATTCCAGTTCAAAGCAGAAAATATGGGATTTTATTCAGCTGTGTGGAAGGGGCCTGGGAGTAAAAAACAAACACTACTGTTGCAGAACATCCCGACCAAGACAAATTTTATAAATTATGAAATTATTCAGAAAAACAAAAGCCCATTTAAGTTCTAAAACATGAAAACAACTAAAGAGCTTGATAGCCTATAGCATGTTTAGGTTAACAGCTTAATGTAAAACTCCACTTGCCTCATCTCCAACAGATCTCTGAAGATGCTAGCCACAGATATGGATGAAACATCATGAGATAATGCTACTGGGAAATGGCCATACAGCCTGAAAATCCCACAGCAACCCAAACACAATTGGCAACAGTCACTAAAAGTATTTTTGCATCAGCTGCCTCTAGACTATGGAATGACTTGCTAGAAAAGCTCTGACAGCTACATGTGCTGTCAAAATGTAAGACACAACTAAAGACCTATTTCTTCCGGCAGGTCTACCCAGTCAATTTTGAACTGTGAATTTTAATTTTGTCTTTTATTGGTATTACATTTTAATCTTTGTACAATAAACTGTATACGTATCCTGAGTGAGAGTATCTGCTTAGGTACATTTCCACTACTGGGGAAAAAAACCATTTATCCCAAATAATAATAGTAAAGATGATGATAATAATAATAATAACAACTACAAATGAATAAGTTTCAATTAAAAATGCAATGTAAATGCTTTTCAAAGAAACAACCATATTGGTCTGTTGCAACAAAAAAAAGGAAAAAAGAAAGAGAGAAAAAAAAATCTAGTCACATGTACATACCACTAAGTGCAATTAGAATAAAGCTCATTTACTTTAAATTTAAAGCACATCAGAATACTTTACAGAATGAATTCCACTATATTAACAACTCAACAATATAACTTACCAGTTTCATCAAAACTGCTGTCATGTGAAATTAGTAATTTGCTTCTCCGTTTCGTTCTTTTTAATTTCTCCGAAGAACTGTCTGCTGCACTAGCACATTCCATGCAAAACCACAATGAGATGCTGAAGCCTTCAGACATATGTGGCCAACAGTTTTGCCCAACCAAAGGCAAATGGATTGGAGCAACATGCCAAGAAGAAAGAAGATGGTGAGGCAAGCTCTCACCATCTGGATCTTTCTTTGTTTGTGCAAACCTTGACCGTCTTAGTAGGCCTAAGGCCCTGCTGTTGAAAGTGAGTGTGGGTTTTTGGGAAGGGCTGCTGCCCGAACTTGATATATGATGCACAGGAAATGAGATGTGCTGTAAAGGCTTCATGTCAGCATTTGCCTCCAAAATCTTCAAAATTCCTTTAAGTAGTGTACTCTAAGAAAAAATAAAGAAAATAAGGTAGTCACTGCAATATATGTCTTAAAGTAAAATATTCAAAAGATCTTTGAAGCTGCTCATGTAGTGTAGTTTTTTTTATTCTTTCAAAGCTTATAGTCAAACACCAAAACAACCTACTAAATAATACATACGTTACCACACCCACATCTCGGGGGGGGGGGGTCCCCAAATGTCTTCTAGAGGACATGGATGTGTTCGTGCCATGTTTTGGACCTCCTTGTGCCCTAGAGGGCTTAATGGGTCGATTTGAGAGCAAAAGGGTTTTTTAAAAAAACTTTTTGAAAAAAAATATTTTCACTCAGGAGCTCAATGTGGATCTACCATTTTTCTTCAAATGTAAGAAGTCATAGATTGTAAGATGTGTCCTACTTTCAGTACCACCACCATCAAAAATACATAAGCTATACCTGCAATTCTAAGATGCAGTCAATTTTAGCAACATTTATAGAGGAAAATGTGCACCTTAAAATTGAAGAAATACAGTATCTAGCACAGAAATGGCCTCCACTCCCTAGAGATAATTTGAGAGCATTTTGAAAAGCAAAACTGACCCTGGGGGCCCTGAGGGTTGCATGCAGTCTGCAAGATTCACTTTGTCCACCCCTGGTTTAAAGCTTAGAGGAGAAAACCAAGAATCACAATTTAAAGCAATGGTTCTCAAACTGTGGGTCCCCAGATGTTTTGGATATCAACTCCCAGAAATCCTAACAGCTGGTAAAATGGCTGGGATTTCTGGGAGTTGTAGGCCAAAACACCTGGGACCCACAGTTGAGAACCATTGATTTAAAGCATGGTTAAAAACTAGGAATCATAGTTTAACACACAGGGGAAGTATAGCCTGAGGACCATACCTTAAACCTATTTTTGCAAACAGCCAAGAGTCCATGGTCCTCCTACTTTTAAGTGTTTAAGGCTCCCTCTTAAAACTGGCCCAAAGTCTCCCAAGGCCACAGAATGCTCGCAACTCAAAATTGTGGGGGGAGAGGGGGGATTCCAAAATGACTTAAATGGCAGCCATAAATGATGTGACTTTTTGCTCATGTGTTTAAACTGATAGTATGGCTTGCTGTGGCCCACTGTCTGGAAACATGTTTTAGGCTGGCAAAATAAAGCAGCACACATCACTGTTAGCTCATACTCATATTAAAAATAATAAAGTGAAACCGAACCACAGTTTCCCTCCTTCTCCAGAAAAACAGAGGAGAATATGAGCCTAAGGCTTTTTTTCAGGTATGCAGTGACTCTTATAAAGTTAGGCCACATTTAATATGAAGTAACCTGCTAATTCCATAATTTAACATTATAGTTTGAATGCAAGCTACTAACAATGTGAATGCATTCCACAAACTGTGAAATAATAGGAAACATCTTATTATAGTTGAAATATTTTGGCTAAAAACTACAACTCAAATGATTTCCATCAGGAGAAAAATCCCCAATCCATGCTGCTTGTTAAGAATTTAATTGGACACTAGGTTCTTGTGGGTTTTTTCGGGCTATAGAGCCATGTTCTAGAGGCATTTCTCCTGACGTTTCGCC